GAATTTGTGTACAGACCCCAGAAGACCCTTAAACTTTTAGATTCCTTACAGACTTCCCTCTTCTCCCTTTGAAAGCCTTAGCCTTGCCTTTTGATCTTATTCAGATGCACCTTTGCCCCTAGCCCTAAAAAGAATCTGGCTCCCATTTAGGGTCCAAGAAAACCCTTAAACTTTTAGGTTCCTTATCTACTCCCCTTATCTCTCTTTGAAAGCCCTAGCCCCACCTTCTGATCCTTTCAAACTTCTACCTTCCAGTTCTCTTCATTATCTATTCCTATTGTTTATTCAATCTCTAAGACCTTCCAATCGGAATTCTCACCTAGACCCTTTTCCCAACCACCCCTTCCCCCCTCCTTTGGCCACCCAAAGTTACTTTAGTGTATAGAAGATCCACCTTGGCCCCCATTCAGATCCTGAGACTTTCTCATGCCCAAAAGGCTGAGACTGTCTCATGCCCACTCATCCCTACGGGCATTACTAATGTTCGGGTTCCTTGGGAGTCTGGCCTATATGATTTATCTCTAATAAATTTTTCTCTGACTGGAAGAAGATTTGAGTTGAATTCTTTCAGGCAGGGTCCAGCGCTGCGATCTTGGGGTCCGTTCAAGCACCCCCAAACCCCTAGACCTCTTCATAGCCACTGCTTAGATTCTTATAATCTAGAAACTGCTTACTCATGTTCAGACTCCTTAAGAGTCAGCCTAATATGATGGATGTTCTAATAAACCTTGTCTTTGGGTGAAAGAAGGCTTGGGTCGAATTCTTTTGGGCAGGACCCATGTGTTGTGATTTTGGGGTCCCAGGACCCCTGAACCCCTAAACCGCATCACCTGCACCACAGCAATATCCCAACCTTACACTGTCTAGTTGTTTTAAATAGTCCAAAACAACATTGATGAATATGACTGACACTTGGTGTAATTTCCCTATTTTTCTCTTTTGATTAAATCCATTTTAGCCTTAACTTTGTCTGAGATCATGATTACCACCCCTACTCTTTTTTCCCTAACAAATTCTACTCCTGGTCTTTATTTTATGTTTTGTGCATATCTCTTATTTCCTATCCTTCCTGGCTCCTCTCCTTTACTTCTACTCACTATCTTGCCCTCCTATTGCTTAACCTATCCCCACTCCAAGGATCCCTCTCTTGTCCTCCCATTCCCATTAAACACCCTTCTATAGTGCCCTTTATCCTGTTTTTTCACCCTCCCGTCTAAAAATCCCTCCCTAATCCTCTCTATCCCCTTAGCCTTTTATTTCTTCTGAATTTAGAAGACTTTTATACCCATACATATATATATGTGTATGTATATATATATCTATATGTGTGTGTGTGTGTATATATATATATATATATATATAGTTCCCTCTTTAACCCATTCCCAATGAGAGTAAGGTTCCAGAACTACTAGCCCTCCTCTCCCATTGTCCTTGTTATTGTTGTTGTTGTTACTTGTCCTTCATTCTAGAAGAGAACCAATGATATCAGGAAGGTGATGTCTGGATTCGCAAGTGTGAGAGATGATCTCTGAGAATCTCTCAGGAATGAAGCCTCCTCAGGGAGTTAATAGGTTCTTGTTCCATTGAAACACTTGCAGCTGGTTGACCTTGTAAAGAAACATGCTTTTCAACACATCTTGTACTTTATCGGACCTCCTCCTCCCTTTCTAAAACTATTTACTCTAAAAAGAAAAAGAAAACCTCCTGCTTTTCCCTATCTCCAGGCAAGTGGTAAAAGTGTCTTTGTTCTTTGTTGCTGGGGTAGATTGCCTCGAATAGATTGTACCCTCAGAGCTTGCATTAATAAGCCCTGAGGAACGGCCTGGGAAAGGGGATTGCACTAGGACCTATATAACCTGTTGATCTGAACACACCTCCACTCTCTTAGGTCAGTGCCAATTTTTTGGTGCTCTGAGGGAGCCCTTTCTTGAGAAAGCTAATAAATCAATTTTTGTTTTTGCTAATATCTCTGAGTCTCTGATTCATTGATAAGGGTCTCTGTACCCCACACACAAGTGAATAGGATTTACGGTGAGGGAGGGCTGTGCAAAGTCACCAGCTTCACTCTCTTCTCCAGAGCCATCTGCCCAGTGGCAAGATATAGATCAGGACCACTGGAGATGGCCTCAGAGGCAGACTGTTATAAGGAACCAAGGCAGTATTTTGCATTGTTTCAAGAATGCCAATTACCTCCTTGATTTTTATTCACTTTGCCCTGTTATAGCTTCATTTTCCTTGGAGCTTTTTTTCCAAAGTGTTCTGCTACTTAGGACATTGTGTTTTAGCTTTGTCAATAGCTAACCTCATTACTCAACCTTCAGAGTCTGCTTTATACTGAGAAGCTCCTGCTTTACAGCCTTGGAACAAACAGGAATCACAGGCAGTGACACATCGACATTGACAAGTGAAATTGAAAGCCAAATCTACTATGGCTGAATTGCCTTCACTGTATGTTCACTTCAGTGATTAAGCAGGAAAAACAAATGATGTTTCACTTAAGCCTCACAAGGCTTAAATCAATAATCAGCTTTTAGGGTAATGAGATATATCAGAAAGAGACTTGAGTTAAGTGTTAGGGGACATGGCTTCAGATCCCGGCTCTGCTACCTTTTCACCTTGGACAAGTCATTAACCTCTCTAGGTCTCAGACTCTTTATCTGTAAAACGAGGAAATTTCATTCTGTATGCTCATCTGGTCATTGCTTTTTTTTTTTTGGTAAATAGTATTTCATTTTTTCCAATTACATGTAAAGATAGTTTTCTTTCTTTTTTGCAAGGTGGTTGGGGTTAAGTGACTTGCCCAGGGTCACACAGCTAGTAAGTGTTATGTGTCTGAGGCCATATTTGAACTCAGGTCCTCCTGAATCCAGGGCCCGTGCTCTATCCACTGCGCCACCTACCTGCCCCAAAGATAGTTTTCAATGTATATGTAGAGCCTATATCAGATTGCATGCCATCTTGGGGAAGGAAGGAGGGAGGGGGAGAAAATTTAAAACTCAAAAGTCTTATGGAAGTGAATGCTGAAATCTAAAAAAAGTTTTTTAAAAATTAGTTTTCAACATTCATTTTTATAAGATTTTGAGTTCCAGATTTTTCTCCCTCCTTCCCTTCCCTCCCTCTTCCCCAAGATGGCAAGCAATCTGATATAGGTTATACATGTAATTGCCTCTTTAAAAAAATAATTAATTAATTATTTTTTAGTTTTCAACACTCACTTGCACAAGATTTTGAGTTCTAAATTTTCTTCCCCTTCCCCTCTGCCCCCTCCCCAAAACAGCATGCAATTTGATATAGGCGCTACATATACATTCATATTAAATACATTTTCACATTAGTCATGTTGTGAAGGAGAATTAGAACCAATGAAAGAAACACAAGAAAGAAGAAACAAAAAAAAAGAGGAGAGAGCAAATAGTATGCTTCCATCTGCATTCAGACTCCATGGTTTTTTTTTTTCTGAATTTGGATAGCATTTTCCATCATGAGTCTTTTGGAGTTGTCTTAGATCCTTGCATTGCTGAGAAGAGTTAAGTCTATCAGTCAGTCAACACACAATGTTGCTGTTACTGTGTATAACGTTCTCCTGGTTCTGCTCCCTGCACTCAGCATCAGTTCATGTAAGTCTTTCCAGATTTTTCTCAAGTCTGCCTGCTCATCATTTCTTATGGAACAGTAATATTCCGTTACATTCATATACCACAACTTGTTCAGCCATTCCCCAATTGATGGGCATCTCCTCAATTTCTAATTCTTGGCCACCCCAAAAAGAGCTGTTATAAATATTTTTGTACATGTGGGTCTTTTTCCTATCTTTATGATCTCTTTGGGATACAGCCCTAGAAGTGCTATTGTTGGGTCAACAGGTATGTACACTTTTCTTTCTCTTTATTTATTTATTTATTTATTTTGGTTAGGCAATGGGGTTAAGTGACTTGCCCAGGGTCACACAGCTATTTAGTGTTATGTGTCTGAGGCTGGATTTGAACTCAGGTCCTTTTGAATCCAGGGCTGGTGCTCTATCCACTGTGCCACCTAGCTGCCCTAGTATGTACACTTTCATAGCCCGCTGGGCATAGTTCCATACTGTTCTCCAGAATGATTGGATCAGTTCACAACTCCACCAATAATGCATTAATGTTCCAATTTTCCCACATCTTCTCTGACATTTCTCATTTCTAGTTTTGTCATGTTAGCCAATCTGATAGGTGTGATGTGGTACCTCAGAGTTATTTTGATTTGCATTTCTCTAATCAATAGTGATATAGAGCATTTTTTCGTATGACAATAGATAGCTTTAATCTCTTCCTCTGAAAAATGCCTGTTCATATCCCTTGACCATTTATCAATTGGGGAATGACTTGTATTCTTACAAATTTGACTCAGTTCTCCACATATTTTAGAAATGAGGCCTCTATCAAAGACACTGGCTATAAAAATTGTTTCCCAGCTTTCTGCTTCCCTTCTAATTTTGGTTGCATTGGCTTTGTTCTCTTTAATTTAATGTAATAAAAATTATCCATTTTGCATTTCATAATGCTCTCTACCTTGTTTAGTCATAAATCATCTGGTCATTTCTTGACACTGTGCCTTTGTATAGGCTGTTCACCATGCCTGGAACGCCCTTCCTCTTGACCGCCTCCCAGCTTCTCTGGCTCCCTTTGAGTCCTAGCTAAGATCTCATTTTCTACAAAAAGCCCTTCCCCTCTAGATCTTGTTTATACATAGTTGTTTTTGTGTGGTCCTGCTCATCAGACTGTGAGCTCTTTAGAGAGAAGGAACTGTTTTTTGCCTTCCTTTGTAAACCTAGCCTGGCATATAGCAAGTACTTACTAAATGCTTGTTAACTGACTGCCTTCGGGGAGGAGCTCACTATCTGGTGATCTGGGTCAATAAATAACTGGTATCAGGCTCATCAGAGCAGACTGAGCTCAAACTTGTGTTACATTTGAAAATTAAGGTAAACTGAGAGACAAAGTTCTGAACATGATCAATTTATTGATTAGGTTAGCAGTAACCAACAAATTGGGTTGATGGCCTCTTTCGATGACCAAGGACATGAGTGAGGGCTGACAAGGTCTTATAGCAAGATGACACAGCACAATCTCTAGCAACATAGATATGTCTTCTTCTGACTGGCTATCAACATAGTCAGAATTGAGATTACATCATTTGGACCTCCCCTTCTGAAACTCCCTTAATCTCAGCCAAGACATGTGATTGGAATCATAAGAAAGGTTCTCAAGTGATGGGAGTTGTTCATCCTTCATACTCACAGAGAACCAATGACATCACAATGTTGAGGTCAAGGTGGCCGATGAGTCCAATATGATGTCTTTAGATTTGTGCATCTTGCGTTTCTCTTGTGCTAGTGTGATTCTGCTTTGCCTTCTTTGATCTGGGCATGCCATGCTGGACAGTTTTGTGCCAGCATCTCCAAAGTCTCACAACCTGTACTAAAGTTCTTCAGAGAGACCTTGAGAGTGTCCTTGTCTCACTTCTTCTGACCTCTGTGCAAGTGCTTGTCTTGTGATAGTTTTCTGTAAAAAGTCTTTGGGGTGGCCAGCCCATTGGAGTTTCGCTCTCTGAAGTAGAGTTTGAATGCTTGGTAGTTCAGCTCAAGAAAGGACTTCTGTGTCTGGTACCATAATCTTCAAAATCTTCCTAAGGCAATTCCAATGGAAGCGATTCAATTTCCTGGCCAGGTTCTGGTAGCCTGTCCAGGTTTCCCAGGCAAATAACAATGAGGTCGGCACAATGGCTCCATAGACCTTCCCGTGATGGGAGTTAGGTAAATCAGGTTTCTCTGCAAAGTAAATGATGGGTGGGGTTACAAAGCTGGAGGTAATTACAAGGCAAAAACTTGACCTTTACGCAAGTCTCTCTGGAATGTGGGTGGTCAGTGAAGTTTACAAAAGTTAGGAACTGGGAGATGGAATACTAAATGTAGCTTGGTTAAGTCTTAGCAAAATAGAATTAAAATAAATTTTTAAATTTTACACTTGATAACAGTACACTCATTGATCAGAGGATCATAGGTTTGAAGCTGGAGGGAATCTGAGTCTAGTCCTAATGTGCTCGTTTTATAGATGAGGAAAGGAAGGCCTAGGGGCCAACAGGTGGTGCAATGGATAGAGTAGGGGCCCTAGAGTCAGGAGGACCTGAGTTCAAATCCAGCCTCAGACACTTACTAGCTGTGTGTGATCCTGGTCAAGTCATTTAACGCTGATTGCCTCAAAAAAAAAGAAAAAGAGGAAATGAAGGCCTGAACAGGTTTTTTTTTTTAACTTACCCATGGTCCTAAAGTAGTCAGTGCATGCTGCCTCCCCCATTAGAATGTGAGGGCAAGGATTATTTTTGCTTTTCTTTTAGCTTCAGAGTTTAGCCTGGTACCTGGCACATAGTACTTAATAAATTCTTGCTAACTTGAACTGGGTGTAACTCAGTCCTTCGACTTTAAAATATTACTTCACAAAAGTGCCCCAAACTGCCAAGGTCAAAGAGGATATAGAATGGAAAAACAAAAGGTCATTGGATTTTGTAAGTAGAGGGGTCATTGATAACTTTAGAGAAGGCAGGCAGTGGTTGGGGCAGAAGGTTAATTGGAAGGGATTGAGGAGATAGTAGCTAGGGAGGAAGTAGAAAAAATGCTAATGCTGAAGTCTGAGGGGTGGAAGAGGAGGATTGAGGAAGTTTATGTTGGATTGCCTCAATCTTCTCAGTGGAAGAGTCTATTGGGACAGGGGAACTTCTGGCCTAGAGGCCCCATGTGGCCTTCTAGAGCCTCAAATGCAGCCCTTTGGCTGAATCCAAAGTTCACAGAACAAATTCTTACGGCCTTGAGGCCACGGGTTCCCCATACCTGCCAAAGATGTGGGGTTTGAGGTGCATTTCATGGTTATAGAAGAGAAGGCTACTAAGATTAAATGAGGTAATTGTTGTAAAGCATTTAGAACAGAGTCTGGTGCTTAATAAATGCTTATGGCCCTTAAATGGGAACAAGACAATGAGTATGATACAAGTGGAGGAGGATTGTGGAAAGCAGAAAGGAGCCAGCTGAGAGCCCTTACATTTACAGGATTCCATATATTTACATTGGAAGAAAGTAAAATTTTGTGATCTTTCTCTAGTGATAGTAATTTATGGAACAGGAGCACAGAAGTTAGATGGTGGAGGGTCACCCAAGGACAAGGTTTTTATAGTTTAGGAATGGTAGAGGGTCACAGGGGCAAAGTAGTCTAGGGCAGGGATCTAGGGTGAGACATTCAAATGTCAAACATTATTAGCTGACATTTATAGAAAACTTTTAAAGAGCTGAAAATTGTTAGCATGTCTCATCAGGTCCTCCTGTGAACAACCCTGTGAAGTATGTTTATTTGTAATTATTTATTTGTAATTATTTTTCCCACTTCACAAATGAAGAAGTTGTGTCTCAGAGACCTCAAGTGATTTGCTCATGGTCACAATCCTCAAGGAAGGTACTTGTATCTCTCCCAACTCAAAGTTGGGTGTTCTTTCCTCTAAGCCACATGTCAAACCACAGAGTCAGTGCTGGGTAAACAAAGCAAGATGGGGGAAGAGTGAGGTCTATGTTACCTTCCAAGGCAGTCCATTTCTTTTTGGATGGTTGTGATCATTAGGAAGTTTTCCCTTTCATTTAACCTCAATTTGCCTTTCTGTAACTTCCCCCCTATTATTCCTAGTACTGTCTTCTGAGGTCTAAGTGGATCAAGACTAATTCCTTTTCCTTATGACAGCTTTCCAAATACATGAAGACATAAATATTGAGAGAAATTATCATTAATAACCAATATCTTGGGGAGATTCAGAAGTGTTCCCTTTTTCTAAATTCACTTTAAAAAGTTGTTTTCTTGAAGGACATTACTGATAATGAGATTTGCCTTAACTTCTCCTGTTGGTCAGACCCCACTCAACCTTGCAACAAACTTAATCTAGGGTGGGGAAGCCCTTCATGTTCTACTCAAACTTGGGTGGAGACAGATCCTTGTGTCTAAATAGCCAAAGTCTTGGGTGGTCTGAGTAGAGATAATTTCTCTGCCCAAGGCCACTTTCAGTCCCTCATTGAACAGCTAAGGATAACTGTAAGCCCCTCCACCAAGCTTGTCTTTGGTCTAAGACAGAAGTTCAAATGACCATCCTTTTATTAATAACCTGCTGACCTTATTAATGATTAAATTACCCAGAAACTGTTAGGCATCATCAAAGTAATACATATATATGTGTGTGTATGTATGTGTATATATGTATACATATTACATACACACACAGATTAGTGATATCTTTACAGGTACCACTATCTAATCTCTCTCTCTCTCTGAAAAGAAGACAAGCCAAGGGACAGCCTGAGTATTGCACTACTATCTATGAAATATCAGTTATCAGAATATGCAGGGGGAGACCTGCAGCACACTGGAAAGCTCCTCTATGGAGGATTCCAGACTTGGACAAGAATTATATAAGATAAAAAGGCCTGGAAACGTTGTGCTCAATGATAGTGGATGTGCCCCACATTGGTAAGATTGTGTATTCATCTGTCACTTACCTGTATGTATGACCTTGGACAAATGACTCAATTTCTTTGGGTTTTGATATCCCCATCTGTAAAGTGAGGAGGTTGGACACTCCATCTGAGCCCTAAACTGGACTTTGCCACTAACTCAAATGCAAAACAGGGAAGTATGGCTGGATACTCATTTTATGAGAGATGTGCGGGTTTTAGCAGACTGTAAACCCAATAGGAATTGACAGTGTGATGTTAATCAAATATATATATATATATATATATATATGTACACACACACACACACACACACATATATATTTAATGGACCACAGATATATAGTTAGAAGGGTCTTACAGGTCATATAGTTCAACTTTCCCACCCCTGCAGGTGAACTGAGGCCTAGAAGGCTGAAATGACTTACCTAAGGTTACAAAAGTAGTAAGTGGAAACGCCCAGATTCAAAACCAGGTTTTCTGAATCCAAATACAGCTTTTTTTCTACTGCACCATGATGCCTTCCTACTTTCCTAAATTTGTTTCATACTATTTCTTTATATAAGTCCTCCTAATGTATTACTATATAAATATATAAATGTAGTAAGTCCCCCTAATGCCTTTCTATGTAAATTAAATAATTTTATAACTTTATTTACAGATTTTGAACAGTACATTTATTTTGTGAAATAACTGCCCAGTTATTAAAATAGCTCAGATTTCCTACACAGGGACATTTGACAAACTTTTTTTTGCTGTTGAAACTTGATATGGGGCGAAATTGGAAGCTAGGCTTCATAATATTCACAGCAAAGGGAACAGAGTCCTCAAAAGAAAGACATTTTAGACTTCAAATTTTTTTTTCCAAAAAGTTTCTTCAAATCTTTTCTTCCTTCCCAGAATACTTCCCCTAATGCCTCTCCTGTCTGCTTAGATATGGGTAACTCTCAAATAATAATCCACACTAATAGCTGGGAACATCAGCACACAGTTGATTGTGGAAAGTGGCCCTGAAACAACTTGGACAGGGATTGTTAGAGGCTGTCAGGTTGAAAGAAACTGCTGGTAGGAGCATCTTGGCTCCTCCTTGGTGGAGATCCATGTACCAAATCACTGTGAAAAAAACCAGTTGGGAGACTTTGTGACTGACTCACCCACATTTACAGTAAAGGACAGACTTGCACTTTAATAATACCAGGTCCAAGCACCATCTTAGGCTATATTAAGAAGCATAATATCTAGGTTTGGGGAGGTGATATTTCTTGCTATAATCTTCTCTGGTTAGACCCCATATGGAGTATTTTGTGGTAGTTCTGAGTACCACATTTTAGGAAGAGCATTCATAATCTAATCATCTCAACCCACCCCTCCTGTTGAAGACACCACCAATCCTGTGGTCACAAAACTATGCAACTTGGGAATTATCCTCAACTCTTCACCACATCAATCCCTTTCTCCCACCCTTATCCCCAATTCAAACATTTGCCAAATCTTTTCAATTCCACCTCCTCAACCACCATCTCCTCTTTATTTTGACCACATCTGTCTCAGTTCAGGGTCTCACCACCTGGACCATTGCACTGTGCTCTTGGTTTCCTGGCACCCAGTCTTTCCTTGCCAATTTCTCTTCCATACAGATGCCAAATAATAACCCTAAAATGCAGCTCTGACAATATCACTCCCCTCTTTCATAAAAAGTTTCAGTGGCTTCCCATTACACTTACGGTAAGATATAAACCCTGTTTGACACTTGAGAACCAATGACACACCACTCTCCTCTTCAACTCACCACTATGGCCAAACTGCCCTACCTGTTGCTCCACATACAGATGATCTCTCTCACTTCCAAAATTTTGCATGGGATGTTTGCCCATGTCTGGAATGCATCTACTTCTTGGGACTCTTGGCTCCCCTCAAGACTCAGTTGAAGTGCCACATCCAACGGGTTTTTCCTAGTTCCCTCAGTTGTTAGTATCCCACCTTCCAACAGCAATGACCTTGTATTGATTTTGTATATGTCCTGTATTGACTTATCATTGAGGGATGTTTCATTTTTGCACCTGCATCCCTAGCACAATGCCTAATCTAGTAGGCATTTAATGTTTTCTAAAAATGAATTGTCCTCATTTTACAGATGAAGAAGCTAGAGGCTCAGGTTAGGTTGCTTGCTTATGCTTACACAGATAATACTTATCAGAGGTAGGAATTGAACTTAGATCTTCCCGACTACAAGTCTAGCATTACCTCTTCCACATATTCTCTCTCATGCCATGAGAATTGTTTTAAGAAATGGACTATTTACCAACTAGCAAGATCCAGTTAATGATTGTTTTCTGTTATTTGAAGCGTTGTTATGCTCAACGGGAGAATCAGACTTTCTGTGCTTTGGGTCCAAAGGGCAGAAATAGGAACCATGGCAACCTGGCACAGTGATGAGCACCAACTCCATAGTTTGAGGATCCTATTGGGCTGGAGACCTCCAAAGTCTCTCCTAGTTTTAAATTAATAATCAATTATTGCAAGGAGGCAAATTTCAGCTTAATGCAACAAAGAACTTTCTAATAATTTTAGAGCTATGCAAAAGTAGAACAGGCAACTTGAGGTGTCAGGCTTTTCCTCACTATAGCTCTGTAAGCAAAGCCTAACTGGCCACCTGTCGGGCATATGGGAGAGGTGACTCGTGTTCCTACAGGTTAATGCAGGAGGCTCCCTCCAACTCTCAAGCTGTTGAGGTATTTTCAGTATGTCCATTTCATCAGCATGGAAAATTTCCTTTCCCAATGCAAATGCAAATGGCACCCCTTGGTGCCTTCTTATTCTATGATACCTATCTAAGAAATTTCGATTCAACAACCAGGAGGCCGGCCTATGGTTTTTCCTCAGCAGCTATATGATTCAATCCTCTCATTTTCCTGATAAGGACATAGGCCCAGGAAATAGGAAATAGATTAAATGACTTGAAGACAGTAAACATTAGAGGCAGAATTTGCACACAGGTCCTGATTCCAAGGTTAAAGCTCTGTGTGCTATATTGCTACAAAATTGTTTCACATCCTTTTCTGCAGATAGGTATCCTTGATGTCTTAGATGTCAGCTGGCATACGATAATACAAATCATTAGACTATCAAAGTGATTAGATGTACAAATTATGTTGTGGTGGAGATTCTTTTTTGAAATGGACTATATTTGTGGAGATGGCGTTTGAACTAGGCCTTGAAGTTGGGCAGAAATTAAGACAGCAAGCAGGCAGAAATGGGGGAGAAGGAAAAAGGAATTTCATGTAGAGGGAACAATGTGAGAAGAGAGACAGAAGGACTTCCAACTTAGCTTCTCACGTTTTGAGGAACTACATCACTCTTTAATGTAAGCACCAATACAGACAAGTAGAGACTGTTGGCAGCCAATGTATCCATAATGTAAAATATACCCCAAAAGAAAGAAGAAATATTGTAAAGATTTAGGCTTTGAGATCTAGGATAGGTACAAGCAGGTAGGCTGAGGGAGTAAATTCTCTATAAAGCTTTTGGAGAACCCGTCTGATAAAACTTTTGATTGGCTTTATTGTCTTAATTTAGAGATAATAGCTCTAGCATTGTTTCTATAATTGTTACTCTTTTACTTGTTGAGGCAGAAAGAAAGAACATTTTAAATGGTGTGTGAACAGGAACACGTTTATTACAAAAGAAAAAACCTCAGAACAAATAAAATTCACATTGTATCGAGCTACAATATGGGAGCAGATAAAAAAAATATTACACAGTTCAAGGTTGCCCTGGCAAACAGAATGCATCACTGTTGCTATATGACATTAACATAGATTTTAAAATAATCAGTAGCGGCGAGTAAAGCGGGTGTCATTAGGTCTGTTCCCTCTGTCCTGTTCTCCAAATTCTCCACCTTGCATTCCACCACGCTGCATCACATGGCCCCGGGAATTTCTACCTGCAAAGCTGCCACGCCTAGGAACAAATTCAAACTTTTTGTCCCCAAGATTCTCTCCCACCCCTGTAGGCCGCTACCTGTACATTTTCAAGGAGGGCTGTTCAGTATGATTCACAACCATCAACTCTTATCTATTGCCTTCCCTCTCTTGATCAGATGCATCAGATGATAGAACCATGAGATTGCTTTATAGGGAACAACATATGACTGATCGATCACACATGGCTTTAGGTAACAAAGGTTATTACTTGGAAAGATTTCATTTTGTTTTGAAACCTTCAAATCAGCAAGTTAAACAAACATGCAAAAAAGAGGCTGTTATAAAAGGAAGAGGAAGGGAAGCGTGAAGAAAAAGAAAATCAACTATCCTCGACGAAACTTCTTACCCCGACATCCCTCCTCGATTCATCACATGGCCTGGTCCAGAGTGACCAGACATTCTTCTCTCACCACCTAAAAGACAAGACAGTTTTCAAACATCTGGAGAAAATTCTCCAGAAACTGTAGTGCTTTGGTATAGCCCTTCCTCATCTTACTTCCCACTAAATGAAAATCTAGATAGATTAATGAGTGGGGTCTGGCTAGATGCTTACTGCACTACTATTACTAACATACGTAACAATGACTGCGTAAGATACTGCCCACTATGGCCCACTGGCAGTGACTGATGTAGGCGCACTGTCTCTTGCTTTCTCTCATTTCTAACTTTTTCATCTTTCAAAAGGCAGATCCTGTTTGGTGTCTATACTTGTTATGTACAGATCCAGGCCTGTAGAGGACTTTTAATGTCTAGAACAATTTCAGAAGTGTAAAGGATACAGTATTACAGAGATTCTGAAAATGACCTCACAGAGAATCTGTATTTAAACAGGAATCTTCTCTACAACACCCCCAAGAACAAATGGTTATCCAACCGCTGCTTCCACAGGTCTGCTCTTTGTCAAAGCAGTCCATTTTATCTTAGAACTCGTTTACTAGGTTTTTCCTTATATTAATTGACGTGATATCCATCTCTCCGCAATTCTCACCCATTGCTCCTAGATCTACTCTCTGGGACCATACAGAACAAATCTAATTGCTCTTTGCCATGACAGGCGTTTAAATACTTGAATACAGCCATGGTATTTGTTCACCTTCCCTACAGGTTCTCTCTCTGAGTGCATCATCCCCAGCTCCTTCAAACAATCTGCATTTCATGGTTTCTAGGTCCCTCCATAATCTGGTTGCCTTCCTTCGAATGCATTCCAATTTGCTAATGTCCTGCCTCAAGTGTGGCCCCCTTGAACCATGTGGAAGAGGACATGGCTACCACTGCTTCCTTCACTGTGGACACTATGCTTTTATTTTTATTGATATATTTTCTAATAAATAACCTTCACCCCCACCCCAGCACTTTCTTATAGAAAGCCATACACAATTGCCTCAGTGATAGTAACTGGGAGTATATTGCCTTTCATTTTTGTGGGTAGTTTTACCAGTTGCTAATAAAAAGTTTGTGTGCTTTTCCCTTCAATCATTTGGAACCAACCTTCCCTAATATGCAAGGAACCTTGATGTCTTTTGTGTTTTTACGCAAGATATATGGAAGGCTAGATTTAGAGTCTGAGGGCCAAGATTCAAATTCCAGTTCTGTCACTTCCTGTGTGACATCAGGCAATAACAACTTCTCTACATCTCATCTGTAAAATGAAGGGGTTGATCAGGTGACCACTAAATCCTTTCCTGCTCTGTATCTACAATCACATATTGTTGTAGTCTTTGTGTCTCTTGTTTTTATGACTGCATTCTTCACACAGCATTCAATAAGACTCAAGGATCTCTGAATTCTTCGTATTTGCCATTCCTATGCTACAAAAATATTTTATTACATCCACACACCACAATTTGTTCAACTATTCTCCAATAATCAGGTGCACAGTTTGTTCCCAGTTTTTTATTACAACTAATACTATGGGTCATTTATTTCTGTCACTGACATCCATTAGCAGGGATTTTAAAGGCTACCTCATCCAAACCATTCTGAACAATCTTTTCCACACCGTAACTGAGAAATGATCATCCAGTCTTTACCTGATGAAGGGGAAGTGAAGGAAAAACTACTACCTCCCAAGGCAGCACATTTCATTTCTGGATAGCTCTATCACGGAGTTTTTCCTTGATGTAAACATCAAGCCCATTTTCCCTTTTGCAACTTCTACCATAGCTCTGGGTTTTGTACTCTAGGGCCAAGCAGAACAAGTCTGACCCTTCTCCCATGACAGTTCTTCAAATACTTGAAGACAGCTATCATGTCCACCAGATCATCAGTTTTTCCTCCACGCTGAACATAGATCCCCAGTTCCTTTACTGATCCTCATGTGACATGAACTCAAGTCCTTTCATCATCCTTGTTGCTCTCCTCTGGACACTCTCCAGGAGAGTTTATCAGTGTCTTCCTTAAGGGCTCAGAACTGAACACAGATATCCACGTATGATCTGACCAAGGCAGAGTGCACGGGGACCTCCCTAATTTTAAACACCAGGTTTCTCTTAATGTAGCCTGACATATGCATTGCCTCTCTTGGCTGCCAGATCACCTTGTTGACCCATCACTTGCATTCCACTAAAACTACAAAATCTTTTAGATGAACTGCTGTCTAGCCATGTCTACTCCATATTGTCCTTGTAAAGCCAAGTGCAATGGATTTAAAGTTTTTCCTTTCTAAATTTCAACTTTTTCAATTAAATTTTTCTAGGTCTTTTTGAATCCTGACAATGTGCTATCATTACCTTTGAGTCATGTGCAAATGTGATTTGTGTCTTTATCAAAATCACGGCTGTGTGACCCTGGGCAAGTCACTTAACCCCAATTGCCTTAAAAAAAAAAAAATCATGGACCAAAAAAAAAAAATTGTAACAGCATAAAATCAAGCAGGTATCTGAGCTATTCTACTATAGAGACTTGCTCCTATTTTGGTCTGGTCATTTAAATGATACAGAAACCACCAGACTGAATTATTGCCTAACCCTGTATTTCTCCATCTTTCCCCTTAAGAATAATATCAAAGACTTTGCCAATCTAGATTTACTTATAAGCATTCCCTTCATGTACTGGGTTATGCCCTGGCAAGAAAGAAAATGAGTTTTTTCTGGCATGACCCATTCTTGATAAAGTCGTGCTGGCTCTTTATGATCACTATATTACTTCCATATGAACACTAACCATCTCCTTTAATAATAATAATAATAATGATGATAATAATGGGAGCACATGTATAGTGTGCCCAGCTTTCTTCTCCTTCTGTAAGACAAATTTCTAAGATGCAGTGGTCACTTCCTCCAGGTTCCCATCATTTCCACCCCAGTGCTCAGTTCCTCCTTGGTGATAATAATCAGTTGTAGAATGGAATTGTTCATAGCTCTTTCAATCTTTTGAAGCAGTCATAAAGTCATGAAATCACTAGATGTTCTGCTTTAGGTAGAGTGTGCTCTAGCAGATGTGTAACTGAAGTCTCCCATTACTACTATATCATACCTCCCTGCCAGATGTTTATTTCTTGAGTTCTTCTCTATTTTCTTTCTGTCCATTTGGTCTGTGATCTAGTCTCGACGGCAGTAGCACTTGTTTCTGTCTTCACTGACCTTTCTCAAATGTTCTATGTGATGCTTCTCTTGATATTATTCTTGGCTATCTGACCATGAAAGGGTCTTAAATTATAATGCTCTTTCTCAGCAGTCCTGGTTTACCTAGCCTGTTTCTTTTGAACAAAGTATGCCCTTCAAGACCCCTTATATTCCAGTCCTAGGCCTCATTCTAGTAAATTTAGGTCATACCTCTTCAAATTTGCTTTAATTAGGACTTCTAATTTATAAATAATGTGGCAATTTTTCTCACACATTTCCAAACTGCTTAACATAGCTCTAGCTGGAGGGAATTGATGTTTCCCAAAGCTTCTCCAAAAATGAATTTCTTCCTTGTTTGTATCTTTTTCATTTTGAAAAATATAGGTGATATGTCAAGAGTTGTTTTAATTTGTATTACCCTAATTATTACTAATCTGAACTATTTTTGGAATTGTTCAGTTTACATTTTCCTTTTGAGACCTGTTCCCATCTTTTGACCATTTACCTTTTGGGGTATAGCTTAGAATTATGCAGATTCATGTCAACTGATGACAGATTTTGGATGACTGACTTATATCAGTGATGTCTGATACAATTTTTTTTCTAATATCTAACTTTCTGTTAATTCGTAGCTACATACAAACAACTTTTAATTTTTATAATAAAAATAAGTCCACTTTGAGTTTAGTTATGACTTTCAAATTGTTAAAATTTTCATGGCCTAGTTTTAAAAATATTTAAATCACTTATCCATTTGGAATTTATTGTGGCATAAAATAATAGCACAAATCTATTTCATACCAAATGGCTTTCCAAAAAATTCTTATTGAACCACACCTTCCTTTTCCAGGAGTTTCTGTTCTCATGTTGTTTTGTTGTTTTTTTTTTAAACACTAGACAGCTATCCAAATTTACTCTGAGCTTTTGCCTGGCTAATTTATTCCAATGATTTGATATTTACTGCTATGGAATATAATTTGAGATCTAATGATACAAGACCCCAACTCATTCCTCCTGGAAAAAAAAAGAAAACAAAACAAAACAATTTTCCTTGACATTCTTGCTAACCAGTTTTCTTGATAAACTCTGTCCTTGTTTTGCCTATTTCTATGGTGTCCCCTGGCTAAAGAGTAATGTGCACAGTGGATAGAATACTGTATCTTGACTAAATGGACTAAGGAAGATCTGGTTGAAAGTCTTGCCTGGACCCTTTCTGGTTAAGAGACCATATGGGCCACTTAATCTTTCTCAACTTCAAACAACTTTCTTGAGATTTAGTTCAAAAGTTAAATATATGGACTTTGATCTAGGCTTGTTAATGGAGAACCTACATCAATGAAATCAGAACAGTGAAGCCCTAACCTATAGGCAGATGTAATTATCTAAGTCTTGTTTGCTTCTTGGTAGGTTAGGTCCCAGATATTTTGTATTCTTGCAAACATAATTCTTCTTTATCTTTTCCTCTTGATTTTGGTTAGTAACATAAATACTGATGATTTGCATCCTGCTGCTTTTCTGAAGCAATTGTCTTGATCAGTTCCTTCATTGATCCTCTAGAATTTTCTAAGTAGAACAAATTTACAACTAAGGAAATTTTACTTCCCTTTGCCAGGGCTTGCCTATTCTCTTGGTTTACTGCCATAGCTAACATTTTTAGTGGTATATGAAATAGTGGAGGTAGTATGCCTTTTTGCTTTATCTTTGATCTTACAGGAATGGTTCCAGCATTTTTCCATCATGAGCAATGCTAGTTCTTGCTTTTGGACATATGTTTTTGATAAGGATTGATTCTTTCAAACAACAAGATACGAACAGAAAACTGTGTAACTATATTGAACAAAGGTAGGCCCTAAAGAAAAATGCTACCTCCAGACCTTTGCAAAGGAAGGAGCCTCTCTAAATATGAGAAATTGTATACGGTCAGAGTCAGCTGATATATAGGTTTGTTTTGACCAAATGCCTTTTCTTCTTTTTCCACTCTTTCTCACAGGGGATGGTTTTCTGGGGAGGGAAGAGGAAAAATGTATTTTGGAAATGAAGGTGATATAAAATAGAAGATCAATAAAGATGTTTTTTCAAAGTACAAAAAGGATCGGTCATTCTAAGCCTACACACACACATATTGTATTTTAAACAGGAGTGTATCATAGGCTCAAAGGAGCATATGCTGAGAGCTGAAAGTAAATTCAGGAGCCTTTGAGTTCAATCTTCTGATTTTATGCAATGAAAGTAAGCCCAAAGAGGTTAAATAACTGGCCTAAGATTTGAGCTTGGATTCTCTGGCTACAAATCCAGCACTCTTTCTACTATACTACATTGCCTAAAAATTGAAGGACAAATGTGGAAGGCATTTCCTGCATTTATTTATATATCCATGCATTTTTTTGGTTATTTTGGCACCACTGGTGATTTTATTTCTTTCTGATATTTGTCTGATAGAAGGGCTTTGGTGGAATGCTTTCTTTCCCTATTTTTGAGAAGAGTTTATGCAGCACAGGTATTAAATGATCTTTACACAGGATTTGTGATAGAAATAAAACACTTGCATATAACTCCAGTTCAGTCACTTTTTTTCTTTGGAGTTCATTTATGGCTTGATAAATTTTTTCCCCCTAAGATTGAATCATACAGACTCACCATTAAAAACAATTTGGCAGATTGAAGCATACTATTTTCACTTTATTTTTTTCATGTTTTTTTTCCTTTTGCAAACTGTAAATTTTTTTTTACAAATTATTTCTTCTTTCACAATGTGACTAACATGGAATGAAGTTTTACATGATTGCACATATATAACCTATATCAAATTACTTACTGTCTTAGGGAGGGGGGAAGAGAAAAAATTTGGAACTCAAAATTTTGTTAAAAAAAAAAAGAATATTAAAAATTGCCTTTACATGTAATGGGAAAAATAAAATACTATTAATTGGTGGAAAAAATAATTCGGGTGTTTTATGATTTTGTAGATATTTATTCTACTTCAGTTCTAATTTTGTGGGAATACGGTTATGTATTGAAGTTTCTGATAATTTTCTTTCTGTCCTCTTTGTTATGAAATCTCTATTTTTATTTTTGGTTTTGGCAATCATGCTCACCTTGTTAGTCTTTAAAAACCAGCTTTATCAGTTTTGCTTTAAATGTTCAACATTTCTTCTTTTTAGGGTTATCAACATGGTGATATTTTAGTTTTTAAAATCACATGGTCAATTTGTTAATTCTTGCTTTTAATAATGTGTTCAGATATATAGGTTTCCCTTTACGGGAAGGAGCTTTCTTTAGTCTCATCCCATAAATTAAGGCAAAGTGCCACACCCATTTTTAAACATAATTATTGCTTCTACATGATTTGTTCTTTGACATGCTCATTATTTAGGACTGTTAATTACGCTCAATTTGAATCTTAATATTGTTCCTATGGAGACTATAATTTTTATTGTACTATGGTCTGTAAAATATATGCTTACTATTTTTCTCCCTTTATCCATTCATTTTTAGGTTCTTTGTGCCTTAGCAAATGACCAATTTCTGCAAAGGTACCATGTGATGCTGAAAAACTATCATTCAAAAACTGTCATAACTTTCACAATTATGTTCATATTGAGAATGTTTTTCTTGTTTATATTAGATTTAACAAGTTACGAAAAGCAAATGTAATAGTCATCTAAAATGACTATTTTGTTCAAAGTCTTTTCACACTTCAGTTGGCATTTCTTTTATGTAATTAAAAGTTGTGCCAGTTGGTGTATATATAGGTAATACAGACTATTTCATTAACACTAGAAGGGCAGGAATTTAAGAATACCCTGAAGGACCAAACTACATCAATTGATAATATTTTTTAATACACAAGGCAAAGAAAATAGAGATAGGATGAAAATGTTTATTTGAAAGTAAAATTTAATAAAATTTGTGTCATTTACACATCTGGTCCTTTTACTGTTATACATAATGCAGTTTTCCAATTTGTTTCTAGAAATTATTTTTATTATTGATTTATCTGCAACCATGACTGTGATTTTTTCTTATCTGTAATCACAAGCATACGATAATATATTTCAGTCCCCTGTCTTAACTTTGTTTTAAATGTTTTCCTTGTGTATACATATAAATTTTTGAGTTCTGTTTTCTAATCAATTCTGTAATTTTTTTCTGTGTTAAGGATGACTTTGGCCCATTAACATAAAAAGTTATTTTCCCATCATCAAATTACCTTAAAAATAAAATTTAAAGATCAGCACCAGGTAACCGCAACTTGCTTTACTTCAAACAGTCTAATCTTGGACCCTCACTATACCCAGATTCCTGGCTATATCCTTAAAAAAGAAAAAGAAAAAGAAAAAAAAAGGCAGGACCATTAAGTACCTTTATTTATTTATTTATTTTTTGCTTGAAACATTCTAGTCTCATTCCCTGGGGTCAGATATTCCCTTCTTACCCTCTGTTCAAATCAGCACTCCTTAATTTTACTTTGTTGATCTTTCACTATCTTTCAATTAAAAATTTTCCCTTCTACTTCTCTAGATCTGTCCCCCTTACCCTTTGTCTGTGCACGCAACTCCCCCCTCCCCCACCCCATTTCATAGGCTATGTCCATAATTGTTTTCTTAATAAAAAGGCAAGACTTTTAAAAGAAAAGTGCCTCTTTCCAGCATGTGAATATTAAGTTATCACTTGGTCTGTCTTGTTACATGAATTTTTTCTGTTTGATTAATTAGTATTATCAAATGCCTGCTCATCAGTTTTCCTTAGAAAGAATTACACAAATTCCTTCATCTTACTGAAAATTCTCCATAGTAAAGAAAAAATAGAAGATCATGTTCAATATTGTGATACTCTTTTGAGATGTAAACTGAGATGCTTAGATTCCATGTCCTTCACATTCCAGCACTGTCTTTTGCTTCTTGTCTTTGAGTAGTAGTTCTGTGTGATTTAGCTGGGTTTCCTGAATCTGAAACTGAAGGGTTTTCTCTTGGATGCTCACAAAATTCTTTAAAGTTGAAGCTCCAAACTTGGTGACATTCTTGGTGAGCAAAGCCTGGTGTGGTCTTCTCCAATTCTAGGTATCTGTACGTTGACCTTGGTTTCCAATATTTCTAGGCAATTGTATTTTCTGATTTCCTAAAATAGTACAGACTCTTTGTTTTATTGTGTTTTCATGGAACAACAATAATTCTCAAATTATCTGATGAAGCTGTACAAGGTACGTTCACTCAGTATGATGAGACCTCAAGCGCTCTTCCAATTTTGCCATCTTGTTTTGTTCTGAGTCTTTGTTCCTTTTCTGAAAGTGAATTATGAATCTGTTCTTTCTCAGTGTCTGCTCCTTCAGTGAGATCTCCCGCTGTTACGCCAGACAGTCAATTCTCATGGCCTTGAATTCATTGAGAGCACATGTTTTTCCCCTTGGTTCTTCTTCCACGGTTTTTTTTTTAACGGAGCTTCTAAAAGACTTCTAATTTTTTAGGTTTTGTTTTTTGTTTTAAAGGGGACAGGTTTGTTCTTTTGCTTCATTGGACATATTTCTGGCTGTTTTGAAGTAATGAAGGGGAGCTGGGATCACATATTATCAATCACTCTTTTTACAAGAAATCCATCAAATAGCTTGCACAGTATTAAAAGTCCCAAATAATTTTTCAATGAATTGGCTCTGCCATCCTAGATCATTAAGAAAATTTCATTTTATGAGTGGTGAAACTAAGACCCAGAGTGAAGTGACTTGCCCAAGGTCGCACTGCAAGTCAGCTGAAGAGCTAAGATTAGGATACAAAAATCCTGACTCTCAGTTCTTTGCTCTTTCCAATGAATGTCCCACTCTTTCTTGTAGATTACTGCTTCTTAATAGCAACAAAACTAAATCATAAAAAGGGACAGTCTCTACTAGCCAGTCTTTTACCTTGCCATCTCTCATGATCTCGACCCATCATTCCTCCATCTACATTTCCTTGCCATGAGCGATCTTGGTGGTCATCTAGTCTTCGACCATGGTCTCCCCAGTCTCGTCCCCTGAAAAATAAATAGGCACATAAATCTGAATTGGGGTTGAACCTATCCTTTAATTTGGTTCATATAAAACCAGAATATGTTATTTTTCCAAAGGATACCTACATATTTTTTCCCATATGATAGTATACTTAGAGAATCAACTAAAAAACTAGTTGAAAAAATTAACAACTTTAGCAAAGTTGCAGGATATAAAAGAAAGCCACATAAAAATTCACAGCATTTCTATGTCTTACCAACAAAGCCTAGCAGCAAGAGATAGAAAGAGAAATTTCATTAAAAATAACTGCAGACAATATAAAACACTTGGGACTCTATGTGCCAAGACAAACACAGGAACTATATGAACACTACTATAAAATACTTTTCACACAAATAAAGTCAGATCTAAACAAATGGAAAAACATTGACTGCTCATCGGTAGGCCAAGCCAATACAATAAAATGACAATTCTACCTATATTAATTTACTTATTCAGTGCTATACTAATCAAAATACCAAAAACAAACAAAAAAACCAAAACTATTTTAAAGAGCTAGAAAAATGACAGAACCAAAGATCAAGGATATCAAGGAAATCAATAAAAAAATTAAAAAAAAAAAAAGTGAAAAAAGGTAGCCTAACCATACCAGATCACAAAGAGGTCATCATCAAAACAATCTGATACTGGCTAAGAAATAGAGTGGTAGATCAGTGGAATAGATCAGGTACACAATACTCAGTAGTAAATGACCATAGTAATCTAGTGGTTGATAAATGCAAAGATCCAAGCTTTTGGAACAAGAACTCATTATTTGACAAAAACTCCCGGGATTTCACACCATATACCATAGTAAGGTCAAAATGGGTATGTAATTTAGACATAAAGGGTGATATAAAAAATCAGGGGAGCAAGGAATAGTTTACCTGTCAGATCTATGGATAAAGGAAAAATTTATAACCAAACAAGGGAGAGCATTAAGAGAGAAATATTTAATTTTGATGACATTAAATTAAGAAGTTTTTGCATAAACAAAACCAATGTAGCCAAGATTAGAAGGGAAGCAAAAACTTATTTACAGCAAGTTTCTCTGATAAAGACTTCATTTCTCAAATGCATAGAGATGTGAGTCAAATTTATAACAATACAAGATATTCCCCAACTGATAAATGGTCAAAGAATATGAATAGCAATTGACAAATGGTCAAAGGATATGAACAGAAATCAAAGCTATCTATAGTTGTGAAAAATGCTGTAAATCACTAGTGATTAGAGAAATGCAAATTCAAATAACTCTGAGGTACCACCTCACACCTACCAGATTGGCTAACATGACAGAAAAGGAAAATGACAAATGCTGGAGGGGATGTGTGAAAATTGGGACACTAATGCACTGTTGGTGGAGTTGTGAACTAATCCAACCATTCTGGAGAGCAATTTGGAACCATGCCTAAAAGTTTTTAAAACTGTGCATACCCTTTCACCCAGCAATACCACTATGAGGTTTGTATCCTAAAAAGATTTTTTAAAAAGGGAAAAAGAACTATTTGTACAAAAATATTTATAGCAGCTCTTTTTATGGTGGCAAAGAACTGGAAACTGAAGGAATGTCCATTAATTGGGGAATGGCTGAACAAGTTGTTGTATATAATTGTGATGGAATACTACTATACTATAAGAAATGATGAGCAGGATGCTTTCAAAAATACATGAAAAGACTTACATGAACTGATACAAAGTGAAATAAGCAGAATCAGGAGAACATTATACACAGTAACAGCAATACTGTATGATGATCAACTGTGAATGACTTAGCATAATCTATATCAAACTGCTTACTTCATCAGTTGGGGGAAGGAGAAAGAATTTGGAACTCAAAATTTTAAAAAACAATATTTAAAGTTTACGTGTAACTGGAAAAAAATAAAAGTAGTAAACAAAAAAAAAAAAAAGAAAAAACTTTATTTTAAGCATATAGCCAGTATTTGGATTAATATATTCATATCCATTTCTGATCTACAGTCAATGGTGATTTATCTGTGGAGGTGATACAGAACAGCTTACAGCTCCTAGGCAGGTTGTTTTCTGCAAACCAGTCTATTTCCTAGCCATCTCCTTATGCCCTGAGGTGTGCTGGTAAATGCTTCAGTTCTTAAAAACAAAACAAAAAATTCTCTAGATATTTTAAAGTTTAATCTACACCATTAACATTGCTCCATCACTTCCTTAAGTCCAGAAAATCAACAACAGCAACAAAATCAAGCCCAGATTTGTAGTCTGTAGACTTGTGAGGTGTAAATATTCACACTGAAAATATAACAATTGGCTTTCAGAGGCCCCTTTGAGCTGGTTCCAGCACACTCCTGACCTGACCCCACTGATGTTTATGTATGGAACTGTGAGCTAACACTGTTACTTAATTAGAACATAAGTGACAAGGAAAATCTGTTCTAAAAAACTTAAAATAAAACAATGATAATCTCCTAGTTAAAATGCCACACTATCTCCTTCCTATATTTCCTTTAACGTGGATAGCTAAGACTATATACGCTAAAGTTTGAAGACAGCTGTGAGTAGAACACTCAGAGCATGCTTTATTTCATATATATGCTTTGCTTCATTCATGCAATCCATTCTCCAGCCACCTTTTCACCAGCTGCTTTAAGGTCCCTCATGCCCCTTTGCCCTTCTCTCATTTCAGGATACACAGGCCTCTTCCCTTTCTTTGTAACAGAAACCATACCAAGGAGGAACTAGCTCTTTCATCTTTCAAAACCCCTAGCCCGAGGCCTCATTGTCCTGAATGATGGTGGCTGCATCACGTCTAGGCCTCATTCCAGTCATGCTTCATTTTATGCCTGGCCATTTTCTTCCCAGCTGCCACGAAGCCTCTCTACCTGCCTTCAAGTTCTGGATCCATAATCAAATCTAATCTATAATTACTTTTGGAAATTGTCAGTTGACTTACCTATGGCTTCATACACCACCCTTCAACTTTCTGAACCAAAATACCCTTTCCTGGCCACCAATACCCTTTTTATGTGCCCTGGCTCCCCACTCTGAATGTAAGTTTCTTGAACGCAGGAATTGTCTTTGCTTTTATATTTCTACTCCCAGTACTTGGCGCACAGCACGTATTTGATACATGCTTTTTCTTTGTTTCCTTTATTCATCTATCCACCTAATCATTCATTGATATACTTTCTCTCAATCCACCTAACTCTCTGAAACAGCTATTTTTTCTCTTCATTTCATTGGCCAGTACTATTACACTGAAAGCTCCAATGGGAGGACAGGTGGGACTAACTCATTTTTAAAAAAATTTTTCCACAGAACCTCAAGAACTCATTAATTCATTGAACAAATAGGTATGATTTGTTAATTTCTATGCTAACCTGGGTGGAGGAGGCAGCCCTCTTCCTTTGCTCATTCTCTTCTCAGATCCATAACTGCTCCACTCATCTCGAGATTCCCGTCCACGGCGATCTGGTCCTCCACGGCGTTCTGCATAGTGCTTAAAAATTAAACAGGCAACAAATGATATTTTAGTACAAATTTATACACCACTTACACAGCAAAGAATATTATTAGTGAAAATGACCTTAAATGCTACTAGCTCACTTAAAAAATAATATATTTTATTATCTCTAAATTCACAGAGAGGGGCTATTGTCTTTCTGTGAACCAACATTTTATAGGTTCTTTAGATTAAATTCCCATTCAATTGCAGATAGTAGAAACACTTCATCAACGGAATGAGAAACTGATTTTTAAAAACTCTTAAGAATTTTTAAGCTAGGCAAAAATAACAATATTCCTTCTTACCAAAAAACCCCTTTACTAATTCTTTCCCCCAAGTACCCAATGGAGGCAAAAAAGAAAAAGGTCCGAGTTCCACTAAATTCCATTCAACTCACCTGTCCATCTCTGTCTCCCATCATCGACCTTGAACTTTCTCTCCTGAGGGAAAAAGCAGTAATACTTGTCATATCATTTTAAGCAATGGATGATTCCTGTTAATAAAATTATACACTTGTGACCTATACAAAGAGAACGATTATTCTCACATACAAATGTCACCATAATTTATTGATTTGAAAAAACCAAGACAAACTCATTCATAGGAAGTAAATACTTTTTTTTCAGAATGAATGCTGTCATCTAAAATGAAAGGAAGGTGGTAAAACACAATCTACACCAAAATTACAGCATTTATGGTTGTTTATAAGCCCACAAATATTGCACAAGTTGATTTTATTTTATTTGTGAACCAATTCCTATACATCCTCTAAAAAAAAAAGAAACAGGAAAGGGTCTCCATCATTTCTAAATTTTCCCAAGTAAATCCATTTATACCGACAACTGTAACAAGAAAAGCTGGCTTTAAGAAGTGTATTTTTTCTGTATGCTTTCCTTAAATATGTACTAGACAAAGCAAATTATTATTTCATTTTTATCTTAGTCCAATGTTTGCAATATACCAACCTGTCCACTGAATGATCCTGGTACCGGCCACGATCTCTGTGGTCAAAATCATGGAAGCGATCTTGGCGGCTAAATTCAGAATGGTATCGGTCATCCAGTGCTGCCCTCTTTCCTTCTGGCCAATACGAATCTTCCCTCCTAAAGGAAAAGCATAGATTTCTATTAGTTTAGTGAAATAAGAGAAAAAAAGAACAAACCTACTTTTCTTTCAGTCTAAATCTCATTGATAATGTCTATTAAGTTATGCTGAGGAGACTAAGTCTCCAAATTATTACTTGTTAGAGTATTAAATGGATTCAGTGATGGACTATACATTAATTTTACTGAGACAGCAGACTTTTCTGCATGTGTTTAAAGATTTTCTTTTTATCAGAAGAACATTTGCCCCAATTCGAATTTAATGATTTAACTCACTGCTTTTATCTACATTAAAAAGGACTTTAAATAAGAACATATTTTATCTTTACAAAACATTAAGTGTTGTTCAATAGAATAACGAGAGAAGTTTTATTTCAATATGCCACAGCAGTAGAAAAGATGTTACCATACTAGAGTTGAAGTTTGGATCTTTAAGCAGCAAAGAACTGCTTGGCAACAATGCTATAGAAGTTCCATTAAGAACACCTAACATTTAGACTACTATTGACAAAAGGCAGGACCACACTAATATGGCTGACTCATTTAACAGAAATAAAACTGTGTAATAATAATTTTTATAAACTGCTACATATGGTGTAACATAGTAGATACAGAGATGGCAGGAAGACCTGGGTACAAGATCTGCCTATGTCACATAATGACTGTGTGACCTTTCAACACTCTAGGCAACTCTTAAGAAGTTGCAAAGAGAGGTGCTAACCTATGTCAGTAGAGGGAGTTCTGTGGCGAGGAGTTCTCTAAAGCAATGCAACCATAGGTGTGGTGTCTACTCCTAACCCAAAATTTCTGGCACAGACTGAAGAGTGGGGGTATAATTAATGCATCATAACTTAAAAGTCCCAACCTCCTCACTCTCCACGTTACCAAACCAAAATGAAATGATTTTTATCTGTGGTACTGATTCACACTGCTCTTCTCCACAAGTTCATATTATTAAGAATATAAAAACCCATGGTTTGAATTCCAAAGAGCAAGATTTTGAAGCACTATTTAAATGTTAGCTATCATCATTACTATAACTGGTGTTCTATGACCCCTACTATCTTTCCAAAGCAATACAGAAATTTCCCAAAGCTTGCCCAATATTTAACACATAACACAAGAGGATGCCAGCTGAATGAATAAGGCATTCATTTTCTGAATTCATTCGATATTTCTCAAAAATAAAATTTTCTTCACCTGCCATCCACATCGTAAGGACGTCTGATTGCAGGTCGTCTTCCTTGCTCATAACGGAGTGCCTGCTGTCGGCGGAGTTCTTCCCTCTCCCTATGAATTCGCTCTTGTTCTCTGCGCCTCTCATACTCTATGTGCATCCTCTCCCTCTCCAGTCGCTCTCTTTCCATTCTTTCTCTTTCTAGACGCTGTCTTTGAACAGCAAGTCTCTCACGAGCTATTTCCAAGCGTTCTCTTTCTTCTCGCTCCTGTAAGGCTTGAATTCGTTCTTCTCTCTCACTCCATTCACATGCTCTGAGTTAAAATAAGAAATAATCAAATCTTTCAGACTCTAATATAATCAGGCTGACACGATTATGTAGGTCATTTAGATAAAACCTTATAGATTATTGCTGGAAGCAAGCTAAAAGATCCAGTGTGATCCCCTTACATTTGTTAGATGAAGAAAGTAAGGCACAAAAGTATTTCAAAATTCATTAAAAAAAATGCGCACATCAGAATCCAAATTTGCCACTTACTAATGTAAGAACCAGCTGAGGAGATGAAGATGGATAATCTAACAGTAGTGCAAAAAGCACTGAACTAAAAATCAGAAACTTTTGGTTCTGGCATCATTCTACTGAGAACTGTATGTTTCAAATCAGTTCACATTTCTGTGCTTATATTTTCTAAGCTGTGAAATGAAGGGGTTGGAATAGATAATTGAGATTGTTCCTATAAGAAATAAATATATTGCTTCAATGGAAAAAAAGGAATGAATATGAGGTGGAGTAGAGAAGTGACTTTGTCAGAGTGATGAGGACAAGAGGAAGGGAAAGGACTATACAACTAGAATATAAAAACAGATTAGTGGAAGAAGCTTCTTGTTTTCCCAAGAATGATCTAGTAGAACCACAGAAGCTATCAGTTAACAGATCACTAAGGAAAAAGCTTTGAAAAGGCAGCAGTGGTAGTTGGTGCCTTCTTCCACAGGCGGTACCAAGGCAGTAGCCCTGCCCCCGGTATTTTTTGACCTGATAACAACAGAGTCCCGTTGTATTCCTTGAAATAAAATAACAGAACTCCCATGAATTATCAAAACAGACGATAACCACCCACTTTTGGTGGTTCACATTACCAGAAGGAACTTAAAACACTTTCCTAACGACTACAAAGTCTTAGGCAAAAAACTGAAGACTCTAAGGGAACAGACTGTATTTTCCGAACTAATGCCCACTGAAGGCAAGGGATGCAGAAAAGAAAAATTAATTTGCAAAGTGGACAACTGGACAGTGGAAAAGAAGGTGGTATTTGAGAGAATTAAGAATTCTGGATCATGGCTTCCAATACAGGGTTGACAGATAATTGGTCAGGGATGGAGAACGCCTAACAAAGGCTAATAGGAATATAATTGCCAAGTGTGAGCTTTAAACTAAAAATGACAAGAGCAGAAAATTGTATCTTCACATTTAGCTGTTATGGAGAGTAGCCACAAAGAAGGCAGACTAACAGATGAAACACCATGAAATTCACAAGAGACAAAATCCAAGAAAAGGAGTCAGCAGTAAAACCTATTAAGTGTCTATACACAAATGCCCAAAGTTTAGGCAACAAGGAGGAACTAGAGTTCTTACTGCAAAGGGGGAAATTCTGTTTCAGAGATATAATTGGGAATTTTGAAATGAATCTATGACTGAACTATGGCTTTGGATAGGTATACTTTATTCCAAAGAAAAAGCATAGGCAAAAAGGGCGAGGAGACAGCATTGTATATTAAGACTATATATAGGGGCCGCTAGGTGGTGCAGAGAGGATAGAGCACCAGCCCTGGATTCTGGAGGACGAGTTCAAATCTGGCCTCAGACACATAACACTTACTAGCTGGGCAAGTCACTTAACCCCATTGCCTAGCCCCCTCTCCAAAAAAATGAATATATATATATTCATGTAAGGAAATCCAGGAATGAGTAGTGAAGCATGACAGAATATCTGGGTACTAAAGTCTAAGGACAACAAATAAGAGATTCTGTCAAAGGAATACACTAGAGACCACACAAAGAAACAGAGAAGTAGTCTGTGAAGTATATCACGTGCCTGACACAGCAGCAGAATAATGACTTCACAGCAGCTAACAATTTCTTGACTTAATGATTTCATCACTCAAAAAAAACGAAGAACCAACAAAGAAGAATTCTCTTCTGGATATGATTTGGATCCAGAGAGCAGAACGAGGAACAACAGGTAGCAGTTGCAAAGAGGTCTATTTAGGCTTGATAAGTTCCTTTTCTTTAGAAGTTTTCCAGCAGAGAATGGACAGATCATTCATTGATTACAATATAGTGGGGATTCTTTTAGTGTATGATGTGATCTAGCTTGTCACCAAACTCTCAAATTTGGAGATTCAATACAACTCTATGTGATTATGCAGTAAAAGAGCCAGACCAGAGGGAAATCCTGGAGTCAGTGCTCCACTGAAAAATCACCTTTTATTTTTGGTGAGGCAATTGGGGTTAAGTGACTTGCCCAGAGTCACACAGCTAGTGCATGTTATGTGTCTGAGGTCAGATCTGAACTCAGGTCCCTCCTGACTCCAGGGCTGGAGCTCTATCCATTGTGGCACCTAGCTGCCCAAAATCACTTTTTTTTTGGTGAGGCAATAGGGGGTTAGTGACTTGCCCAGGGTCACACATCTAGTGTTATGTGTCTGAGACCTGATTTGAACTCAGGTCCTCCTGACTCTAAGGCCAGAGTTCTATCCACTGTGCCACCTAGCTGCCTCCCCAAAATCACCTTTCAAAGAACTGGAATGCATCTGAAATATCTTCACCTGCTCCATTATTTATAAAGTTCTAAGGGTAACAAAAAAGGACAGTACAAAATCTTTGAAGATAGAAAATCCCTGGAAAATCTGGGCTTCTCCCCAAATTAGAAACAATGGGTAGGCCTGAGTTGGAGAAACGGATGAACAAACTATGGCACAGGAATTCAACATAATGTTATTATGCCTTAAGACACAAAATATGAGGAATTAAGAGAAATACAGTAAGGCTTGTATGAACTAATGCTGAATGAAGTATACAGATTCAACAGAATATTTATAAGGTCTACAATAAGTGAAATAAAAAACAAAACAAAACAAAACAACCCCACCCCCCCACTAAAATGAGGTTAAGCTAAGAGGAGTTCTAACGACCTATCTTAGCTCCAACAAGAGAAAACAAAACATACTTTCCTCCTGTGAGGTAGAAGACTAAGGGTGCACTTTATTGTACTCACTCTAAATCCTAATTATAGTATTGGTTGGTTTTGCCTAGTTCTCTTTGTTACAAGGGAGGATTCAATGGAGAAGTAGAGGTGGTGGTGTGTTATATTTGGAAACGATGAATAACAAAACAAAAGGCATTAATAGGGCATTTTTAAAATCTGGGCTCCTAATACCTCTGTGACTCCAACGAATTACAACTTTTCTGGGCCCTAATTCCTGTACATATATGATAAAAGCGAAGCACTGGACAATTTATAAAGTTCTTTTATGCTGTAAATCCTGATTCTATATTTAGAACTGCCAAATTGTTCACAAATTGATGTAAAATCCTAGGAGATGTATAATGTAACAGCAATCAGAAAAGGCAACCAATATTTCTGATGTTAACTTACCTTCGGGACTCTGAATCTCTCATCTTTCGCTGGTCTCTGGACTTATCAAATGATACAACAGACCGTTTTTCTCTACTGGCAGATTTGCGATCTTGGCTCTTTGAGACCTGAGTTTTTAAAAGTGAATTATAAACTTTTAAGTGAGAAAAAAAATTGAGAAAGTAAACTCAAGAGCAGATGCAGAACTTTTAGCCCCATACTAACATCTAAATACTAAAAGAACCAGAAGTTCTCCAGTGTGTCAGGTAAACTCTTAATGAGATAAGGAAAAAGTATCACAAAGTAGAAAAGATAGAGGAATTAACATCTGCACTGATTGTAATCGTGAATTTATTCAAGTAATTGGATTTCTGTTCAACATTTATTATCAATGACTTGAATGCTAATATAGATGGTCAACTCATCAAATGTGTAGATGACAAAACTGGAAAGACGGCACTTACATTGGATGACAGAAATGGGATCTAAAAAGATCTAGAGACTAGTGATATTCATAGAAGCTATTAAAATGAAATTTAATTTGGATAAATGTGAAGTATTTCAGCTGAATTTAAAAAAATAAAACTTCATGAATAGAGAGGAGAAATAGCTAGAAAGCAGTTTTATTTAAAAAATAAAAAAGCTTGGAAATGCAATGAATTGCCAGTGATGTAGAAATTTTTTTTAAAAAAAGTCACTTTTGACTCCATTAGTAACAGCAAAATGTTCACATTTAAGGAGTGATGGTCTTCACGTATCTACGATGCTCTAGTTAGCACACCTGAAGTATTGTGCTCAGTTCCAAGTACCATATTTGAACAGGGACACGTAAGTTATACAGATTTTTATTCAACATCAAGGAGATGGGCTCCCTCCTTGGGTCAGTTTTCACATTCAACAGCAATCAAGGCAGAGAATAAATGGTCATTTTTAGAGACTGAAGTAGTTCATAATGTGGTACAAATTGGACTACATAGGGCTTCTTAAACTTCTTCCACTCGCGACCCTTTCAGTACTTCTTAAATTATGCGTCACAACCCTATATCTAGCCGCTAGATGACACTTGAAGTCCCAATTAACTGTACATCTATATATGATTCTATGAACCAACAAAGTATATATTTATTATGTAGTTAGCACTATGGAAGAGTAGAAAGCATAAGGTATAGTTGCCACCTTCAAGGAGTTTTGTATGTAAAGCAGCAAGAAGAATATAAAGTTTCAACTCTTAAGCCTAACATAAAATTCCATCAAATTAGAGTTCAACAGAGAAATTTTCAATTTTACTTAGCTTTCCAAAATGTACACTTAAAATAATTACAAATGCCAAGTAATGAAATATAGTAACATGAAAACTAAATATGCTGTCATCTGAATTTTTGCCTTTTTTTTTTTTGGGTGAGGCAACTGGGTTAAGTGACTTGCTCAGGGTCACACAGCTAGTAAGCGTCAAGTGCCCGAGGCCAGATTTGAACTCAAGTCCTCTTGACTCCAAGGCCAAAGCTCTATCCACTGCGCCACCTAGCTGCCCCTGTCACCTGAATTTTTAAAAAGTATGACACCCACAATTACACAATTAATCAGGAAAAATGGAGTTACATTTTCTCTTTTCTTAAAAAAAGCTCAATGGGATGAAATCTCAGTATGTCTAATTCTTATAAAAAACTAGAAGGTATTTTCATATTATGAGTTTATTCAAATGCACATAAAAGGTACAAGACGCTGTTGATTAAAATATACTTACTCCCTCTTTTCCTCCACTTGTTTTTACACTGATAACAGGTTCTCCTTTGGATTTGTCCATTACTACAGTCCTCTCTGTACCTCGACTTCCTATATGAAATACAATTAGAAATCCAAGATAAACAGCATAACACTCCAGCAGTAAAATATATCTCAATGCATGTGTGTAAGCAACTGATCTGTTATGAAGAGAGTAACAGTAAGTTATATTACTAATGTACCTGACTTAGTAGCTCTAGCTCGATCAGATCCAGGTTTCTGTTCATCTTTATCCTTCTCATCACTTCCATCTTCTTTTCTAGTGTCATCTTTTTTGTCCATTTTATCATCTCTTTTTATGTTGGTAGATCTAGGAATATCATCACAACCCCCCAACACACAAAGAATATCTATCAGATTAAGTAATGAACCATAATTTGGATGTTCCAATATCTGGTATAAGACTGATAATAACCTGTATAATTTTTTCTTTTCTCCTCACCAACTAGAAACATGGCCTTTTAATATATTTATTATGTAGTTAGCACTACGGAAGAGTAGAAAGCATAAGGTGTAGTTGCCACCTTCAAGTAATTTTGTGTGTAAAGCAGCAAGAAGAATATGAAGTTTCAACTTTTAAGCCTAACATAAGATTCCATCAAATTAGAGTTCAATAGAGAAATTGTCCCAAGGGCACCTCAAACTTACCTTGTCCAAAGTTAAGCTTATTATTTGCTTTCCCTCAATCAATCAATAAAAACTTAGTAATGATTTGCAGGAAGCCCAATCTTCCATGTTTGAAACCTTGCTCTTTCTTCTACTGCATCCTCCCTTTCCAATCAGTTACCAAATCCAATTTATTCTACTTTTGCAACACCTCTCCCGTCTACCCCATCATTCTCTATTCCTACAACAACAATCTTAGTATAGCACTCTAACATAAATCAGGGTAAATTCTAATACATTCTTAAAAGGTCTTCATGGTTCTACTCCCTCCCCTTCCAAGAAAGCCTGCATGTCATTCCCAGACTAATCTTCCTTATGCATCTGTGTGGACAAGCCACTGCTTAGGCACTCAAGTACCTCAGCAATCTGATACTACCCCCTACTTTTCAAGCACTATCACGACCCTGTGCTCTCTATACTCCCAGTCCATGGCCATGTCTGGTGAATGAACATTTCCAGCACTTTCCTTCTGCTGTGCTCATAATGCTCTGTATGCCTAGAATGCCCTCACTCTCATCTTCTGGAGATGTTGTGGTGTAATGGAGAGTACAGGAGTGACTTGAAATTTATTTTTTCTGGATAATTTATAGTATAGCTTTTAACTGTGGATGTACCCTAAGGCTGTTTGATTTCACCAATGCCTATGGATTGATTCCCAGACCTATATATCCAGCCTAAGTCTCTCTGCTAAGCTCCAAAACTATCTCTGACTAGTGGACATTTCAAAATGGATGTCCTTTAGGCACCTTAATCTCAACATATCACTGTCTTCTCCAAAGCTACTCCTCTTCTGGATTTCCCTACCTCTGTTGAGTTACCCAGATTTACAACCTTGGAGTCATCCCTAAATCCCTACTCTTTCTTCACCCATGCAGCGTATCTAGTTGCCACAACTGATTCATTCTACCTCTATTATCTCGAGCATCTGTTCCCTTGTCTCCAGCCCCATGGGCACCACCTCAGTCCAGGTATACATCAGCTCTCTGGATAATTAGTCCAGAATTCAAATCTCCCTGCTTTCAGACTCCCCTTTCTCTATGCATTTAAAACCCTTCCTCCTGGCTTCTATCTGGTCTTATTATTTATTATTTCCCTTCACATAGTCCGTAGTTCAACCAAACTGATCTTTTTATTGTTTCTCACATATGACACTCTAAATTCCATCTCCGAGCTTTTCCTGACTGTCCCTAATGCTTGGAATGCACTCCCTATTCCATTCAGCTTAAGAGAAATCTTCATTTCTTTTCTTTCAAAGCTCAGCTCATGTGTCACCTTCTACAAGAAGCCCTTCCTAATCCTTCTACCTATGACCCCCATCCTTATCCCAATTACCTTATGTTTATTTTATAAATGTTTACATGTACAGCCCTCCCCCTTTAAAGAGTAAGTTCCTTGAAGATAGGAACTATTTAATTTTTGTTTCCCCAGTACCTAGTAGTACCTGACACATGGCAAGCACTCAATAAAATTGTTTTGGATTACAGAATTGTGTTAGTATAGCACCAGGAAGTTAGGGACTAAGATTCACCAAAAGGATTTAATAAATCAATTATGTTCTCAGTTTTTAAAAGTTAAGACAAATACCTGTCACTGTTAGTTGATTTCTCTCTCTTTCCATCACTTTCTCTCTTGTCCGAAGTTTTCTTGCCAGCAGGTTCATTTTTTGTCTGAAATCATATTAATTTAAAAAAATTTAAATTACAGAAGCAAAACAGGGAACTAATTTCTTTTAAGTAATTGGTCATACCACCACAAAAGGAGGTTTAGAACTTACTTTTTCTACTGAGATCATTTTCCCATGAAGCTCCGTCTTGTGAAGATGGTTAATACATTTTGTTGCTTCCTCAGATGTGGACATTGTGACAAAACCATAACATCGAGCCCCAGGACTTCGAGCATTAGTGACCACCTTGGCACCAACAACCTTTAGGAAAGAAATACACACCAGGCATCACTATATGTGTCATGTCAGCTACAAACTATCACTTACAAGGAAAGGAAAAGATAATACCACCAAGAGGACAATATTAAAGACTGGAAGATCCAACACTCATGTCAATAGCTAGATGCACCAACCCTTTCTTGGGATAGTTTAATTACTTAACCATCAACTTTTATTGTGTTGCTGCTGGTAGAAGACGGAAAAGAGACTAAACGAAAGAGGGTGGGTACCGTGGCAGGTGAGGGCACAGACAACATATATTTTATTGCTGTTATTTGTACAGATGTCATTTACATTTTCTATTCTACTGCAACATTCCTAAAGATTCACAATGTCATTAATATAAGTTCCCTCCACTAAAGCAGGACTAAAATCCCTCTTGACCCTAGTAGACAGTCTCAAGAGTTGCTAAAACAAACAAAAAACCCAGTTACCTAGTGGACAAATTTCCAAGCAATGAACTTTGGAGGACTAACACCCCTCTTGACCCTAGTAGACAGTCTCAAGAGTTGCTAAAACAAACAAAAAACCCAGTTACCTAGCAAACAAATTTCCAAGCAATGAACTTTGATGCTAGTCTGGCCATCAGCCAAGAGATGCTTAAGCATATCTAGGTCTATAGTATGAAACCTTTCAAGCTTGGCAGGATCCACAAAATGTGAATTCTACAGATGTTGCCTTTGAGAACCCATATCCACACCATGATGAGGTATCACGAGTGGGATTTTAGAGGAGGTTTTACTACTAATCATCATGAATGGCTATTATTGAGGAAGAGGATCAATCTCTTCCAAAATCAGAAAGAGTTGGTGCGGTATAACAGAAAAGAATATTGAACTGGGAGTCAGAGTGAGTGCTGCCATAAACTCTTTTTTTGAAATTGTAACCAAATTGCTACATTACACAAAGAGTAGACAACCATATAGAGGCATCAATCTATGATTCTGAATATACACACAGAGTTTACTGTTGCAATGAAATAACATGAGAGTTTAATGACATATTTATAATTTTCATTGTACTACAAATTAGGCGTACAACTCACAAAAATACATATACACTCAAGCCAATATTTTAGGCTCCCTCCCCTTCTCACTTTATTGTTAATTTTTATAGGCTACTGGTAATGATGAATTTTTCCTGATAAAATCTACTATTTATTTTCATAAACTAGAGATATTTAAAATTGGTTTTCTTTTTTTTTACAACTTCCCACAAAGGCCCCACTCCATCTCTCCCCTGTCAAAATGTCAGAACTGAGGTTCCCTGTTTATTTTTTTAAACTAATGAACTCCTGTTTTCAAAGGGGAAGGGATATAAAAGCAAAGAAGACTTGAGTACCTGAAGTACAGAGGGATGATACCGAGTCAGAAAGAATACTGAAAAGAACAGAGGAAACTTTTCCCAATTTGACCTGGAAACCACTTACATATTAGATGGACATTCTTACATGAAAGACATGAATTTGGCTAAGTAAGGCCAATGAGGACACTTTGCTTAAGTTTTCCATTTTCCAAAGTCTTACTTTCCACATTCTTTTAATAAATTAAAACTGAACAACCCAACACATAAATATGAAATAAGTTATTAATATAAAATAACACTTATATACTCAACAAGAACTGTCTTTTTTAAATCTTGGGAGGCTTTCTATATACAATTTCCATTGACACTCTCATTGCTCAATATTAGAACTGCTGACAGTGAGAATATAAAATCTATGAAGAAAACTATCTCATCATTCCAGGCAAATCTTACTGTGGTCAAAAAAATGTTATTACCCAGCTTGATCAGCCACCCATTTGGATTTAGCTCCAAAGGATTTTTAGCTGTTAAAAAATCAAAAGTACAAGTGCTCTAAGGTTGAAGATTTGCCACCACTGAGATTATAAAGAACATATACACTACAGACTCTTTGACTATTATGAAAATATTAACACTCATTCTGATGTGTAAATTTTGGGATGTTTAACAAAAATTGGTCCAACTTCTTATTATACTCCATACAACCTTATAAAGCCTTCAATTCTTACCTTTCCATATTTGCTGAAAAGATTCTTCAAATCTATAGCTCTGGTAGTAGAAGAAAGTCCACTAACCCAAAAGTTTCTACCACAACTGCTAGTGGCATGACCTGGTTTGAAAGAAAATTTCAGCCAATAATTAGTGTTTTGGAGACTGTAAGTCCCTTGGGAAACTCTGAAAGACTAAAGCACACACAAGCACATGTGCACACAAAGACAGATACAATTTCTAGATGGCACTAACACACTAGAAATTTTTATGGGAGCTGTAAGGGATGAGAAGGTGAATCACTAAAACCTATTTTTCTCAAGTCAAGAAGACACAACATTAATATAAAAATTCTCCAGGAAATCACTACCTCTTTCTTTGCTTTAGTGTGCTCTTCTATCTTGAAGCTGTTTCACTCAAACCTATTAACCAGTGATCACAGCCAATAAAATTACTTTCAATTAATGACACTAATGTAAAATAGGTGTGGATAATCCAAATACCAGATAATCCAGAATTATTTTTCAATGTGTAGCACAGTTGGCTTTCCAAAGCCTACCATCACAATCCCTTTACATACATGCACACCACAACTATTCAAGTTGGGGAGTGGCCTGAAAATGGATAAAATTCAAAATGTGGCTTAACAGCCTCCTGCCAACTAAGAACTAAGCTACTTTAACCTTGAGGTAAAGTATGCCTGGACCCCACAGGACAGCAGTAAAAGTTCCAAAGAGGCAAATTTAGGCTTGATGTAAAGAGAAATATTTCTAATTTTCTAGTTGAATGTGTTGCCCCTACAAGAGTTGGGTTGCCCAGCACTGGAGGTATTAAAGCAGTGGCAAGATAATCACTTCTCAGGAATGAGAGGGGATTCTTGTTCAGGTCCCAAGTGAGACTATAAGGCCTCTAAGATTGTAAAACAAAAACACTCTTATAACTTTCTATTTCCTTGGGCAAACATTTAACTTCATGGCGCTTCAATTTCCTAATCTATCAAATGAGGGAATTAAGCTACATCACCCCTCAAATATCGTAGGCCTGCTCTAGATTTATATAATCCTATAAATGTGGCCCCTTCTATGACACTTAACCACTCTCGAATGGAATTTTCTCACCTGAAGTATTCTATGAAATAAATGACAATATCAAATAGGAAAATTTCTTCCCCAATGAGAACATTGCACATTTGTGTAACAATGAATTGATTTATTATGGGGTAAATTCTACAACCTCTACTGAAATTAAAGAGAACATCCCATAATCTGACACCATACCTTTTTCATCTTTGGAGACTCTTTTGGTATCTGAGTCCTCTTCAAAAGAGCTAGAGACAAAAGTTAATGTTATATAAGCATGGAAAAAAACATACAGAAAACTAACTAAAAAAGTATAATATACGTGCTACAGTTGCATACCTACCAGAAATTTAGTTTTGAAATAAAAGAAAGATACCTGGCAAACTTGCATTGGAAATCTGACCCAAGAACTAAGACGTCAGACTCTTAAGAGTTAATTAATTGTTGGATTAAAGCTAACTAGGAAAGATTATAGAAAACAACCATAGTAGGTTGAGAAAGGAAAAAAAAATTATAAAATGTTTTAAAACACACAAAGAAACAATCAGATTTTCTATAAATAAGTTACAATTTCATCAGTCTGGCTGGCCAATTGAAGAAAACAGCTTATGTGTGTCATTAAATGACCAATGAAAAAAAGATAGCATCTGGTCTAGAACTGAGAAAAAACAAACCTCATTTTCTGATCACCGCCCTCATTGGTAGAGGACTCTTTAGTAGCAGATGAATCTTCATTATTAGCTTCATCTTCACTTTTCTTAACGTCTTCTTTGCTATCTTTGGTTTCAGGGCTTGAGGCTTTCTCTGGTGTTTCCTGGGCTTCCTCGCTAGAAGCTTCTGCATTTTCTGATGCTCTGCTACTCTGATCATTTAGATTCTCTACCACTACAGTGTCAGAGTCCATTTTCTCTTCATCTACTTTCTGCTCGATTTTCTCCTTTTTCACTGTATCTAAGTGCTTTTCTGCCTTCCTGGCAATTGCTTGTGTTGACTCGCTGTCCAAATCTAATGCATCCTCCTCTGGATGAGCGGTGACAAAATTGTCCTCTTCCTCTGCAAGCTTTTTGTTTGGCCCCACGCTACTTGCATCCTGTGAAAATGGCTGCTCCAGGTCGGAACCTTCTTCTTTTAGTGGGTCAGACTTACAAGTTTCCCCCAAAATGTCGAGTATTTTCTCATTTTCTATGGATTTAACAGGAATAGAATGGCACAAGGTTTAATTACCAGGGAAATAAAGCAATCACAAATGCGGAACTGGCACGGCTGCCACACTAACACGAAGAGAACTGCTAGCTACACAGAGATTGGAAAACCCTGATGTACACAAACTTATACTGTTTAAAACTACCTGCATTCCAATAGTCTAGTATATTAAAAAAGTGTCAACCTAGAGGGAAGTGAAAAGGATCCCAGAGATTAACCCCTAAAAACCTTCTGGCTGATTCTTGACAGTCTTCATTATGTTGCTGTTTATATACGGCTCTTCAAAATTTAGCTTCCAAGTCCAACGTGTATAACTGAATGTACCATCATTCACTGACAGCTCAATTTCGAAATTTCTTTTGAATTTCTTTTAAAAGAACAGTCCAATATGAAAACCAGAAACTCTTCCAACGGTGCAGGAGTATTATTTGCAGTCCAGAAAGTGAACAGTATTTGTTTTGACATTTCATGAAGAAAATCTTTCCTCTTCTGGAATCCAGTTACTTCTTAGTATTTTAAATTTAGTTCCCCACAACAGCTTTAAATTGCCTGAACTGCTTTAATCAAAACTATCAAACAAAGATATTGCACAATATCACAAGATCTGTTTTGGTGTACAAAACCTTTTAAGAGTAATGCAAACTCTTCATATTCATCTAATTAATATTTATTAAAGTGAATGGGATAATCCATCTCCCAGACATTATTACATAAAATGATAAATACTCCACTTTCACAGATCTGGTGATACGACTGGGTTTCCAATCTCTATGATCCTGGTATGATTGGGATTGTCCACCATCAGAATAATGAATACAATAGTAAGGTAATTACTAGGAAATAATAATATTGATAGTAATAATTAAGGATTTAAAATGTAGTAGGTGGAAAATTGAAATGGTTTCAAACCCTTGCTTCTGGTTTCTGATTTAACAGTACCTGGCTCCAAAGATGGATCTTCAATCTCCTGTAACACAAAAAAGAGAAAAAAAGACATTGCCAAACGAATGAAACTTATAGTTTTTTAAAAATACTAAACAAGAGTGGAAAAACTATAACCTTGAAAAATGCAAATTATGAAGTAAAAATGTTTTTAAAGATACTGGTCCAGGTAAGGTAAACTATTCACCTGGGGAAAGAAACGCCCAAAGCAAGCAATCTCCCTTCTGCACCTTGTTCTCCCAAATTTTGGAGTACTATTAATGAGCAGGAGATGTAGGCCTTTAACAACAGTTAAGTATTATTAATAAACTTGAAACAGGATTTGCACATACAAGCTATTCTTTCTTTTGGTCATTGGCTTTTCAGGAATCAATAATACAGTATATTTCTGAAACCGTGGTCACTTTTGATAATTCAGATGGAGGTGGATCAGAAATGCAGATAATCCAATACGCAGAGTATTTGAAAATCATTTCTACATGCCTTAAGGATGTTTTTGTACTTACATTTGAGAACTGGCATGTCTGGTGATCTGGGAATTCATGTCCAACAAAATAACAAAGTCCTTACTATGAAGACCCAAAAGTGAGCTAGGAATCTCTTAGGCTTTTCTGCTTTACGATCTTGCAGAAAGAGGGCTGAATTTGAAATCAGAAGACCTGGGTTTGAATTCTAGTTGTTTCTATCTGCAGAATTATGGGCAATTCATTCTACTTCTCTGGACCTCAGCCTCACTTTCTTCATCTAGAAAATGAGATGGCTAGCTAGACTAGCTGATGTGTAAATTTCCTTTTAGTTCTAACTCAATCTTATGATTTCTGTGAAGCTCCTCTTTCAGAGTGGTACAAAATGCCAGCCTAAGTAAAGGTGCAACTTAAACAGCCTCAATAGGGGGGAAAAAGCGGGAACATGTTTGGATTTCAAAGTGTTATCGTGATGAAACAGACACAGGTACTATGCAACGTTAGGGTAAAAGGAGTCCCTTAGGGCCATAAACAGTAATTATGCAGTAGGTGCTGTTAACACACTTGAAATAAGATTTGCACAGATAGGTTGTAATGCAAGTATGAGCATGAATGACTGACCTAAAGTTATATTTGTCTGCTTTACATTATAAAAAACAACACCAACAAAACACGACAGCATCATAAGGCCTTAGAGACAGAAAGAACCTCAGAACCCATCTAGTCAAACTGCAAACCAACCCATGAATCTTGTTTGAGGTTCTGGAAGATGTTTTAAAATGACATTTGATTAGCTATTACACTGACCATAAAATCTACATAACTTAAAATAATGAAAATACCCTGTAAAGGTCAGTTGAAACCCCTTGCCCAGATTCTCCCTTGTCCCCCAAACTTCAAACTAAGAACAGAGTGCATTTTCTCTGATAACAAAAACAAACAAATAAAACAAGGAAGGTTACTGGCTCATTGATTCTTTAGAGGCAGATGCTCAATCTGGGAACAGAAATATAAAACAAGATCTGCAAGAGCTGCCTATGCCTCAAGTGTTTCCATAAAAATGGTTCACTAAAAAGTGTTCTGCAGATTAATACTTAATAAATGCCTGTTGAATTAGATACACCCAATAGTCGAAAGCAAGGTTTAACCTAAGATAAATTTACTCCCATAGTTTAAATTTATGTAGGTTACTAGCTATAAATAAAGAAAACTCAAGATGTACATTTAAACAATCTACAGAAGAAAACTAAGCTATGTGTGTAAAGCAGAACTATCTGGAATCATTTCTTTTCATTTAATTTTTTACACAACTCAGACAAACTGAAGAGCAAAATAGTTTCTTACACATCTTCGTATAGTAATAGAAGCACTCTGATGAGAAGTGGTCTCATCAGACCAACTTATTCTGTTTCTAGCACAGACCTCCGTCATCCATGGAAACAATGTGGAAAATGGGCATGCCATCTCTTCCATCCCTGACAATAACCACTGACAAAACCAGCATCAAGAGAGGTGAAACATTATCACCATCTGTCTTTTTGCTGCCCCCTTAGCCTTCTTATGTGTGGACACTATTAATTCCATGACTTTCATTGCCTCCTATCTCCAGGTCTCAGTCTATCACCTTAATCTCTTCCTGACAAATATCTTATTTAAAGGCAAAGTAAAAATGCCTTCTGGCTAATTACAAATAGCCACTCAGTCCCCTCAATAATCAAAATATGCCAAAGAAATTAACTCCCAGAGGAAACATTTTCCTATCAGTTACAGGTGGCTAAATATAGCCTTCAGCTAAATAGCAGTAAGAAAGAGAATAACCCCTTTCTATCCACTGTATGAGGGGAAGACAGCAGTGTTGATGTGGGGAAGAAACAAAGCATGCTTGTTGCATAGCTGGTATCATAAAATGTCTCAATGTCCTGACTTCAAGCAGCATAAGTTTTGTTTTATTTAGATACAAAGTATGACAATTTTAACTCAGGATACCTTTTGAGATTTACTTCATTTGATACAATTGCTATTCCAGTTCAATCAGCCTACTTGGGCTGGGAGTGTCCATCGCTGGCCTCCCTTTCTTCCAAGGATGTCCCCTTGTTCCAGGTCCCACATGCCTGCAACTTCCATGCTTCTCACCTAAAGCTTCTTTTATACAGTTTAATTTTCTTCAAGGCTTAGCTCAGGTGCCACTGTCCACCTGAGACATTTCCTGATAGTTATTTAACTCCTCAAGTACAATTTTAGGTCCTTGGTAATTTTTAAGATTACAAAAATAAAGCAGCCACAGAACCATTTGGGTACATGTGGTCTTCACAACAAGAATTTCATCTCCTGAAGGTAGGGATAGTTGTTGTTTGTCTTTATTTCCTAAGGGTACATAGCAGGTGCTTAATAAATGTTGCTTGTGAAAATAATTAGCACAACACAAACTGAACTCACTGCACAGTAAGTGTTAAAGTGGACATATTAGAATTTTACCTGCACCACAGTGAAGTCAGATGATGAAGTATCTAAATTGTTTACACTCTCTTTGTCCACCATCTGCAAAACAAGCAAAGAACATTTTATCATTCATTAAAGGAATAATAAAGCCTTGTGTTCAAAAAACCAAAGTTCTTTATCCAAAATATACATTAAGATTTCATATGATATTGAACATCTATACTCAAATAAGTGCTACCTTTGCCAAAGCAGACAGTTCAGTAGGCAATACTATTATTCTGATAATCCTAGTGTTGCTCAAAACACTTATTTTGGACCACTTTATGAGCCATGTAAGAAAATCAGTGTTATTTCACGTTCACACTTCATTCGGACCCCAAAAGAATACAAATTCATCTTGACCACTTACCTTATTCACCAACCTTGAATAACTCTGGCTCTTTTCCTAAAATCAAATCCAATACCCAAGTACAAAGACCAGACAAAATGAAGGCTATTCCAAAGCATATGACAGGCTTTGAAGGCATTTCTGGAAAAGGAGTTCCAGTTGGGCAGTGGCACCATCATTAAAAGAAACCTCAAAAAGTTAATTTTAAAGGGTACAACACTCACTATAATGTATAACTTCTTTTTAAAATTCACATCTTTATACACTAATATATAAAGATGTTTGACTTCCATAAGAAATGCCACACTGCTCTTTTTTTGACTGCCTTCCATTCTGTGTGAAAATCAAGAGTGTGCCTCACTTTTATGTGGCAGTGGTGTAGTGAAGAAAATCCTGAGTTCTCATTCCTATTCTGTCACTGCCTTTTGAGACTGAGCAAACAATTCAAATTCTCTGGTATCAGTCTCCTCAGTTGTAAAATTATCTTTTCTTTCTTTTTTTTAAGGCAATTGGGGTCAAATGACTTGCCCAGAGTCACACAGCTAGTAAGTGTCAAGTGTTTGATCTGAGGCCGGATTTGAACTCAGGCCCTCCTGACTTCAGGGCCGGTGCTCTATCCACTGTGCCACCTGGCTGCCCCTCTCAGTTTAAAATTATCAAGCTGGACTAGGATCATGTCTCAAGGTTCCTTCCATATTTAAAATTTTGTTATTTTACCTTAAATACTATCAGACTCATATGCAAACAGAATAGCCTATAGACAAGATACACTTTCTCATCATTATTTAATCCCCTATTTTATCTGTTTCCAAAATGAAACAAGCTTTGACTGAGTAAAGTTTAAAACAGCTAGAATTATTACCCCCTGCCATGGGGCTATATAAGAAAATCACAATCCTGAACTCTTTTTTTATTCGAGTCTTATAGTAGCACGCAGGCCTTAATTTGGCCCAACATTCAAAATGTAAAAATGATGTTATTTTAAAATCTAATGCTATATACAAAACAATAGCACACAACCAGAGAGGCATTTAGCTAAAGGATGTTACTTTTGAACAAAATAAGACTCTTTTTGGGGTGTTCTGCACTTGTTGTCATGTACCAGTGTTCTATTTCATTGGTCATTAAAAACAATTGGATTCCACACATTTAAGAGATGCATTCCACCAATGATGGTAGTTTTGAGGATTACCAAAATAACGCAGCCACAGAACCATTTTGGTACATTTTTGAGATGTTTCCAAGTTACCTACAGCATGTTCTGTAAGCTGATCTGGAAATTCCTTCATTTCTGCATCAGCATTTTCTTTACTATCAGATAGGGAGTCAAGAATATTATCAGCACTGTAGTCCTCTCCGCAATCTACAGCACTCCCATTATCTATTTCGGCTTCATCTAAGACACTGATATCCATCATGTCAATATCTCGAAAATTATCCAAACTTGTTTCAACATCTTCCTGTAAGAAGAAGAATGGGGGGAAGGGGGGGGAAAAGCATGTGATAGGTATTTGGATTAAAATGCTTAACTACTAATTTGCACCTTCAATCAGAATCTATATACCTGTTCATCTCCAGAGTTTTCCTCCAGTCCATTATCTTCAGCACCCTCTTCTTCTGTTTTTCGTCCTGCTAAAGTAAGTTTGCAATGTAAAAAAGTATAATAAAATCTTATCAGAACAAATAATCTTCATTCTCATGTACCCCAATTAATCAAAAGTAAAATATTGCTTTTAAAGCTTTAACATTCAAATAAAATAATCACAGAACTCCCTGAATTAAAACAAATGATACTTATCACATGGGATAAGGGGGTGATAATACTGATATGTGTTTAAAAAAAGAACTTTTCCTTTCTTGGTGGGAAACTTAAAGAATTAAGGGGAGAGATGTTTTCTCTATGCCAGTGATTCCCCCATGCATTCACAAAGAATACTTTTCCATTACAAAGGTTATAAAATTGAGGGTAGGTCAGCAGGCTAGCCCACAAGTCTATTTAAATGCTTAAGACTCTTGAAATAGAACTGCTATACTAGTTCTGAGTACCAGAGTCCAGTTACATTATGGGTTACATAATTTAGGCTAGACTAAAAATCTAACCAACACCTATTACATTGCTTCTAAGGAGAAAGGGTGTTCTAATTTCAAAGCTCTGACTTACACATGAGATTCCTGAATACATCTAAGTGTATGCAGTATAGTACAATGAAATTCACCTACAAGTGAGAACCTTCAATATTTTTATGAAGGGCTATCTGACAAAGTTTTATCACTTTAGTACAAATAAATACCTACTCTTCCTAAGACTTCACAACAGAAAAGTCAGCCAAGTACATAATTAGTTCCTTGAGTCCATATTCTAGCTGACATTTATACATCTCCTTGGCTTTATGTCACTGTCTCACAAACATTTACAAATAATACACCTAAAGCATCTTTAACTGACTTCAAAGGAACAGAATTCCCTCAATTAGATAAAAGCCCTAGGGAATGGACCTCCGATGTGAGGAAATTTCCTTTACACATACAAGTCAGCATGCTGGCTGCAACTTCACAGAATTAAAGAGATGCCTAAAGCATTGAGAGGTTAAGTGACTTACCCCACAATAACCAGGCCAGTATTCATCAAGTAGTGAAATCTGAACACAGATCTCTTAATAAGAAGTGACTAAAATGATTAGTGGCTTTTGTGACCTCAACTGAGTTTATCTTTCAGCATACAGGCCCAGTTAATTCCTGTCACCATCCAAAATGGTATGGAAACAACGTGACTGTCAAAAATTGTTTTGTGGGTTTAAGTCACACATATACATCTTATTTTCAGGAGTTACAAAAATAATTTGAAATGTGGTTTTATACATTTCAAAGTATAAAAAATAAATATGAATAGAGAGTGAATATGAATAACTGCACTGTAGCATATGATTAAGTCTAAGTTTGCTTTTCAAGGCCCTTCCTATTACAATACTGTCTACACTCTATATAATCTGGTCACTAATTCCTTATCTGCAATACTTTTCCCTGCTTTATATAAAGTGAACAAACTTCTCAATGCTGAAGACTAAGTATTCCACACAAAAAAATGTTACTTCTGGCTTATGTTTCATATTAAACATATCCAATATAAGACACTGATTTAACACAAACTGCTAAACTTATCCTTTATTTTAAATGACAGCGAAACTTAATTGTGTTTTATTAATGTGAAATTCATGATTATTCCAAAAGACTAAAATGGAGAGGTGTGACAGCCATTTTACAAAGGTTTGCTATACAAATGAGTTCACAAAGATTTTAGGGGAACATTTAAATCAGTAGCACCCTCAACACAACTTTGCACACAAAAACAATGGTTTGTTAATTAGAAGTCATTCTGATTTATTCATTAAAACAGGTTCCCCATGAATTCAAATCGGTATTTGGCTGTTTTGCACTGGCTTCTTAACACAACGGTCAGAATTTTATTGTAGTGGTTTATGCTCTTGATTTAGACAGAAAAATTAAGTTGCTTCATTCTCTAGAACTACCTTCCTGGTACAAATCAAGAAAGGACTCTACGCATTCAGTAGTTTTCCAGGAGGGCTGACAACAAGATTAAAAAATTAGTCCTTGTTTGCAAGTCCTCTTTGTTAAGGGGGAAGCAACACGTAGATAATTAACTTAAAATACAGTGATGAGAATAAAGTAGATCCAAAGTGCATTAGGAAAATATGAGAAAGAGATTCAACTGATTTAACTTACCTTCCTGAAGAGATTGTAGGTACTGGCAAGGGAGTGATCATATCTTCTTTCTAAGACCCCTACCCCCAGGACAGGGCCTTGGTTGTAACTGGTACTCAATAAATGTTTGTTAAATGAATCAATTTAGTTGGCTCAATCTTGAAATAGCTGTAGTTCAAACAGGTCTATGTCCTTATGTAGAGCCAATTCATTCCTATTGAATATCCTATTTATACTGTCTCCCAGGAAAATTTTTTTTGTTAAGCTAAAGCAATAGGAAGGCGCCAATTAAATCTAAGAGTTATATAAGAAGGGATATAAATTCCTAAGGGCACTGGGGCTCACTGGCAGTCCTAGTGAAGAAAATGAATGCAATAGGGAATCATTCTTAACATCTGTTTGTTTTTAATACTCCTTTGAGTACCGGATACCAGGGGAACCAAATGCATTACAGGGAAGGTGGCAAAACTAAAATACCTCACTCCAGCACTACATCAATCTTCTGATTAGAGAAACAAGACTCTTACTCAAAAGTAAAACACATTGGAAGAAAAGGGGAGAAGCAAAGCACATTTTGAATTTGGTTCTTAAGGTCAGATCAAGTTTATTTTATGACTTTAATACCTTTGCTGGGTCTCTTCGGAGTTGTTTTCTTGCTTCCTTCAGACGTAATTTCAATTTCATCAGGATTACCGCCTTCATCTTCAATTGCCTATTAAAAATACAGAGTACGTGTTGACCAAAAGTGATAGCACATAAACTTTAAATATACTTCCTGATTACTTATCTTAAAAGGGAATAGTATCTAATAAAAACAATTTCATTAACTTACAGTCAACATTTCTGTATAAAATCATTTCAAAACACTTGTTTTTTGGATCTGCTTTTTCACTGGTAAAATAGGGAATCTGGACTATATGTTGCCTAAAATTTAAATCTATGAGAAATGCAATGAAGCAATATTAAAATTCAATTTATTATGTACTCAAGTTGCATCTGGTCCTTATTCTATACTGGAAAGGAAGTGATCTACTTAAAGATGTGAAGAGCTGAACTGCCCTTTAAGCTTCCAAGCTTTTATTTTTGGGGTGTCTTGTCTCCTAAATGGGAATCTTTTGGCATAAAAAGCTTTTTCTGGCCAGTTGAACCTACAAGAAGGGGGAAGGAATGAACATCAATCCAAATTTTCCCAATAAAAATGGTACAAAGGAATATGGATATGGATAAGACCTATAATCAGTGGTACAGGTAACTCTCAGGCTTGCAAACTTGCCCTACCAATTACAGTCAGCAACTTCTTTGCCAAAGGCACTGAGCAGCTGAGCAACATGGTTAGGAAATGTCAAGAGGCTGGATTCAGATTTGGTCCTCTCTGACTCTGAGGCCAGGCCTGTTCCCACTTGCTAACAGAAATAAACCAAAAGCCACTGTCTCCCTCTGGAGTCTTTTACCAGAGCCAGATAAACCATGTTGTAAGGTGCATCCTAACACATAATCCTTTCACTTAGGGGTTGGGAAAGATGGCTGCTGTGGCCTCTTTCAACTCTCACATTCTGTGATTAACTGGAAAGTAAGAGAAATGTTCAATCTATGCTTGAGATCTGATTGTGTCACCTAAATTTTACTGGTGACAATGAAACCCCATTTCATTATTTTCTTTATGTGTAAAATTGCAGATAACTACAGTATTTACCATAGGACCATAGTAATTTGTAATTGGCTAGTTTCAAGTCATTAAAAACTTAACAGAACGAAAAACTAGTTTACTGCCTGTAGTACTGGATTTTGGAGTAGGGTTTATTAAGTGCGTCATAATTTAGAAACTAAGTGAAAGTTAATTGCATAACCTTGAGGGCAAAGGCTTTTGTTTTGAAGATCAAGTATACTATAGTGGGAACAGTGTGGAAATCAAGAGTTAGGAGTCATTTGGGTTTAAATCCCACCTCTGACATTTACCAGCAGTATGACTTAATTTCTCTGAGTCCATGTTTTTTTAATCACTAAAATGAGAATAATAACTCGAAAGTATTTGCCTCATAGGGTTGTTTTGAGGCTCAAATGAGAGGATGTATACTTTACATATTTTAAAGTGCTACCTGGGTGTCAGCTATCATTTGATTTTGTATCTCCAATGCCTAGTTCATGCTTAGTGAATGTATATTGAAATGAATTGAAAAGATCAATTTTTCCCAGAGCTAGGTTTACCCTGGAAACACTATCAGAAGCAACCATACATCTTCCTGGGAAGCAACCAATTGAATTAGACCAATAGGCCCAACTTTAAAAAACAAAACATCAATCAACACCACTAAGAATTGAATAGTAGGGTGACTCTAAATATTGCCTGAGGCAAGATGTGGAACATTCTCCACCTCAAAAGCTAGAGAGTGGTACCCTTGCATCCATTTTTTTCCCCATGTGAAATAAGGTTACATAAAGGACATGCCTTGGAAAGGGAAAAAGAAGTTACAAAAAAAATCAACTAGATGTTTTGTTTATAAGATACGATCTAATTTGTGTAAAGAGCACAAGATTTCTTGAACTTCTGAAATGAGTTGTCACATAACTTTTATCTTTGTTATCTACTTCTTTATCTCCCACCTTTGTTGCCCCCTTCAACCTAGAGTAAACTGGATGACTCCAGTTTCTGCTTCTCCCCCCCCCCCCAAAATGAGGATAACACTGTCTCATCTTCCTGGGATGGTTCTATCCCACTACTTGTCTCCCACCATAAATTGTTACCTACAGAAGGCAAGGTCAGTATCTCTTTTTTTTATTAAAAACCACTTAACTAGAAATGAAATCATCTCCTAATCTCAAAGTACAGCCAGCCCTACTGGTGATGTTGTGCACAAAATGCTTTGTATGTTATTTCTGTACATGTTGTATGTCACTGCCCGCAATAGAATTTAAGCTTCTAGAAGGCAAGGACTGTTTTATTTTTGAATTCCCAGTGCCTAGCCCGTGTATGGCACCTAGGCGGCATTTAATGCTTATGGAAAGCAACTGAACGGCAAGGGCTCAAAAATGTTTTTTCATTAAATGGCTTAAGGACAGGAGACAATGTACAAAAGCTCATGAAACCACACATGGCGTCATTGTCGTAATCACCATGGAAGGGGAAGAGATTTACAGGTGGCTCTCACCACACTTCTTTGCTACAATATCTGCAGTGGCTTCTTATTGTCCCAGTAAAGCTCAAATTCCTCTCCCTGGGACTCAAGTCCCTCTACAATCTGGCTCCGCTCTTATCTCACATAGTTACTCCTTCCTATGAGCTCTTCTGCTCGAGACATACTGGATTATTTTATCCACAGTACACAAAAACTGGGCTCTCAAACCTCTGCAGACACGGCAGCACAGTATACAATTCGGCACTAAGGTAGGACTAGGGTTGATATTGCAGGTCTATTTACTAGCTGTGTGAACTTAGGAAGCTACTTTACCTCTCTGGGTCTCAATTTCCTCGCCTGTAAAATGAGATTCAGTTCAATAAACATTTTATTAAGTATATCTACCAAGTACTAGCATTGCTAGTATGGAGGAATGCAAAGACCAAATCAAAACAACCCCTTGCCCTGAACGTTCAGCTGTCTATATTATCTCTAAGGTTCCACTCTATCAATAATCTTTGCTTTCACACTGTTTCCAAGTCCTAGGACGTCCCCCTCTTCTTAAAACTCAACTCATACGCCCCACCTCCCCCAGGAACCCGACTTTGTTGTCTCTCCCTGCCCCCTCATCTTCTCCTTCAGACAGCTCACAGCACTTTGTTTAGTAATAAGCTAATTCACCCAAGCACTGTACACTAGAGAAGCCTCCAAGGCACCCCCGCACCCAATCGATTATAAAAACTCCAAGAAGGCTCGGGCCGTCTAAGCACCTATTTTCTTTCTTCTCCAGGATCTAGCATAAAAACTCTTACCCAATTTTTGTCTGTCGAAGCCTATGGACTCCTCCCTAGATTGCTTTTAAACATATAAAGCACACAAAATTACCAAAGGAACCCGATGATATCGATGTCGAGATGTAATTCCTTCTCTCCTCCGCCCCTTCCTAGTTCGACTAGTTCCACTGTCCCCTGAAATCCTTCCACCGTGCCCAGACTAAGCAGCCCCGGCCTAGCGGATTCCGGCCCCCAGCCGGCACTCACTTCCGCGCCCCCCCGCCCGAGTCTCTGGACGTTCGAGACGGGGATGGGCGGGGCGCGCGGAGGTCTGCGGCCAGGGGTGGGGACTGCGAGGAGGGCGCTATGGCGGGGGAGCTCGAGGGCCCGCCCAGCCCCCAGCACGCGTGCGCGGCGAGGCCCGCGGCTATGGCGACCCAGCCACTCTCTCAACCCCCCCTCCCCCATCCATTCTCTCGACCCTCACACTCCACTAGGCCCTAGGAGGCTCCACCTTCTTGAGTCGGTCCATCAACACGCTCTTATTGCCGCCGCTATCCAGGTTCCTCTTCTTCAGCTCGGCCCGGAGGTCAATCACCCGCAGGTCGCTTAGCCGCCGGGTCCCGGTCTCTGAGGAGGCGGAGCTGAGCCCTGCAGTGACAGAACTGGAATCGCCTACGCCTGACAAAATCTCCGCCATCCCGAAGGGTCCTATCTCCGCTGCCCAACTCGCACGATTCGGGCGACTGCCACAGCTAGGAACACAAAATGGCGCCGCCTGCGAGGGAGCGGCACCAGCCTCCCCCACCCGTGGCGTCACTGCGCGCGCGCCGAGAAGGTGGTTCTTTTTGGGAGGCTCCCCACCTCCTCCTCCTGGCGCATGCGCCGAGCTCCTCTGTAACCAGGAAGGAGGGAAGGAAGGCGCTTCACTGTCTAGATGCGCAGGCGCTCAAAACCCAAGCAAACTCCCGCCCTCAACTAATAGAGCACATGCGTAGCGCAAGTTGGTGTGGGCGGACCCTTGGATACATCTGTGTATCACGTGGGTGGTTGCCGCACGCATGTGCAAACTCCCTCCGTGTGAAGCAGGGGGAAAAAAGCCTAATCAGTTGGCGCGCATGCGTAACCGGAAAGGAGGCAGGCTAGTGCGTTTTCCTCGCAAACGGCGCCATTTTGTGTTCGGAACTGCCGCAGCGACTGCTGTGTGTGAGGTGGGCAGCGAAGACAGGGCACCCAGGATGGCAGAGGCTCTGTCAGGGGCGGGCGATTCGGGATCTGGCCCGGCGGGTCTCGGGTCCGCCTCTTCGGAGACCGGGACCCGGCGGTTAAGTGATCTGCGAGTGATCGACCTCCGGGCCGAGCTGAAGAAGCGGAACCTGGATACCGGCGGCAACAAGAGTGTCCTGATGGACCGACTCAAGAAGGTGAGGGACCGGGCACATCCGGGGCCCTGGCGCTCGGTTTGGAGGGGGCGGGTGGAGAAGACGACGAGGCCGGTGTGTGAGCTTGTCGCCGCGCACGCGTGTTTGAGGCTGGGGTAAGGGGGGTGCGCGCCCCTTTGCCCGGGTCTTGGCACCTCTGTTCCGCGACGCGCGCCCCCCCCCCCAGCATCCCTTGTCAACTTGCTCACCCCACCCGGCCAGAAAACGTCTTGGGAACGAGCGCGCTGGAACGGACCTGGGTTCTTGGGGAACCGACATGCTGGGAAGTTCGTGTCGGGGTGGGAGGGAGAGAAGTACGGAGAAAGTACTTAATGTCCTAGGGCTCTGACTGCTGTCCTTCCCCCAATCGGCCTGGAGAGTGGTTATTCTGCACAGAGCCACGACCCTTTGACCTTTTGCCCCAATCAGTGCTCTTCTCTCACACGGTACAAAGTTCAAACAACCTGTTGGTTTCTGAACTTTACAAAAAACATTTGGTAAATGCATGCAGTACCTACAAATGAATGGCCTTGGTTTAGGTCCAGTGCCCGTTAAGAAATGTAAGTCATTGCTTCAAACGAATATAAACCATCTTGAGATGTGATAGTGAAGTTTACCCGACTCTTGACTTCTGGGCTTCTTGCCCAACCAGACTAGCAGAACAAGAGTAAGGGAACTGAATGTTTATTACAGCGAACGTTTATTGCTAATAAAGTACATAATGTCATACACCTAATAAGCTCTCATGAAACTAATATCTTAATAGGCTATTGAGGAAGAAGGGGGCGATCCTGATGAGATTGAGATTGCATCAGAAACTACCAGCAAGAAAATTCCAAAGAGGTATATCAAAGGTATGTGTGCAAACTCCAGACAGAAGTTTTGGTGGACTGGAGAAGACAGAGAACACCTTTTTTGTTTACATTTTGGCTGTATTTCTTTCTCAGATTAATGTAGTTTTGACTTTGTTTTTAAAAAATGAGCTTAGATTAGCATTTAGTTGAACTAGGCAGAGAGCCAAGCAGGTGCTTTCAAATGCCCACAGGCTGATAGAGTTACCAGTGTACCTAATTCCAGTTTTCTTTAATAATTACACTCTTGATAATGGTAATAAGAGTTTTCATTTTCATGTGGCTTTTAAATAAAAAATTAAGTACTTTGACTTATATTATCTCATTTGATCTTGACCATGTCTTTGAGATAGTTGGGGAAAGTGGAATTTATGTTGCCTAATTTTCAAATGAGGAAACTCAGAGGTCAGTCTTCTGTTCTAGGAAGAAACACATTTTAGTCAGTTGACTAGCATATTAATGTGAATTAATCGGTCTTTTGAAAATAGCATAAGAACACTTGCCAAATACTTTGGATCATCAAAAAATACTGTTCACGTTCCTTTTCCTTCCCAAATTTTGATCCATTTTAGGACTGATGTGCTAGAACAGGCTAGCATATTGTGATGATTTTGACATGGACACTTATGTTCTGTTGTGTACAATTTTAAGTTTTCCTGTCAGAAAGATATTATATAAATATATCCAGTTATTATGACTTTACGTGGTAACATTTTTAGCTCAGGTGGTAGTTTTTTCTTCCTTTGATAAATATTTCTTAATATTTTTTATTCTGAATTTAAATATTAAAAAAAATTCCATATATATGGAAGAACATGAGGATTGTATATGAAAGTCTCCATTCTGCTTTAAAAAAACCTAAAATACCTTGTTATTTTCAAAACTGTTCTCTTTGTGCTTCCTTCTAAACATTTTTCTGTTCCTTCCTGTGCATTTTAAAAATTGTTTCAGTTGCCATATTCTTTTGTGGGGTTTTTTTGGACATTATTTCTAACATCCTATTTTCCCAACTCCTTTCTCCCCAATTAAAAACTGAAGGGGGAGAAAAAAACCCTTGTAACAAATAAGTATAATCAAGGAAATGATCAGCATAGTAGCTATGCCCCTAAATGTTAAAATGTTTCTTCCTATACTTTGAGTCATGTACCTCAGGATGTGGTAAGGAGGTAGGTAACATACTTCTCCATATACGTGTACACTGGAAAACTGATTGAAAGACGAGAACCCTAGTCAGTAGTGACCAAAGTTGTTTTCTTTTATGGTATTGTTGTCCTTGTGTGAATTGTTCTGGTTCGGCTCACTTTACATCAGCTTATACTACCCCCTTGATTTTCTGCATTCATCTTTTTCCTATGATGAAATATTGTTCCATTACATTCATATGCCATAATTTGCTCTGCCATTGATGGGTATCCTCTTAGATCTTTTTTCCCCTTCCTTCCCTCCCCCCACCCCCCACTTCACTGTCAAGAAGTTTGTTTTCCTTGTGGGTGTTCACCTCTTGGTATTATCTTCCCTCTTAACCCTCTCTCCCTACTTCCATCCCTGCTTGTTTCTCTGTTGAGTTTGATGTATTTCTACACCAAATGGTATCTGTACATTCAGTCCTATTTTATCCATTTCATGAGTGAGCTTTATCAGATGCCTGATTCCTCTACTGGTTTCTCCATGGTTTTATACTCATGCACAGTAACTATGAAAATAACAAGTCTCACCCCATTCTCTCTCCATTGGTGTATTTCTTATACCTTCTCTTTTCCTCTTAGAACTCTCAGAACAAAGTAAGTTTACTCCCCAAAGCAAATTTTTTATTTCAATTATCAAGCATTATTTTTTCTCTACCTACTTCTCTCCTTCCACTGGAAAAAATAAGGAAAATAACCGTTATAACAACTGTGAATAGTCAGAGAAGACATTACTTCATTGACCTGGTCCATGAAATATGTATCTCATTCTGCACCCTGAATCCTTCACCTCTTTGTTAGGAGGTGGACAGCATGTTTCATTAGCAGTCTTCTAGAATTGTGGATACTCACTGTTAGAGTTCTTAAGTCTTTCAAAGTTGTTGTCTTTACAGTGTTACAATAATTGTATAAGTTATTCTTTTGATTTGTGTCACTTCACTCTGTATCAGTTCTTTCCTACAACATAAAAGGCTACTATAAATATTTTTGTACATATGAGTCCTTTTTCTTTTTGTTTGGTCTCCTTGGATTGTAGACCTAATAGTGGTATAACTGGGTCAAAGGATATTCACAATTTAATAACTTTTTGGCATAATTTCAGATTGCTTTCATGAATAGCTAGACCAATTCACAGCTCCACCAATAGTGTATTAGTATTCCTGTTTTATTTCCAGCACTTGTCAGTTAACTTTTTTGTCTACTTTGCTAATCTGATGGGTGTGAACTGGGGACTCAGAGTTGCTTTAATTTGCATTTCTCTAATTATTAATAATATGTAGCATTTTCTTATGGTTATAGATAACTTGAGAATTGCATATTAATATTCTTTGACCATTATCAATTGGCAGATAGCTCTTATTCTTACAGATTTGGATCCGTCCCTTATATATCTTATAAATGAGGCCTTTATCAGAGAAAATTTGTTGCAAGGGTTTTTTCCCCGCAGTTAACTGTTTCCTTTCTAATCTTAGTTGTGTTGGATTTATTTATGCAAAAGCTTTAATTTTATGTAATCAGAATTGTCCGTTTTATCTTAAGTGATTGTCTATCCTTTGGTCATAGATCTGAAAGGTAATTTTTTCCTTGTTCTTCTAATTTGTTTGTAATGTCACCTTTTATAGCTAAGTTGTGTGTCCATTTGGAGCTTATCTTGATATATGATTTAAGATGTTAGTGTCAACCTAATTTCTGTCAGACTGCTATCCAGTTTTCTCAGCATTTTTTGTCAAATAGACCTTACCCCAGTTCCTGGGGACTTTGGGTTTATCAAGCACTAGGTTTTTAAAGTACATTACTTTGGCATGTTGTACACCATATGTGTTTGACTGGTCAACCTCTCTATTTTTAAATTAGTATAAAATTGTTTGGTGATTACTGATTTTTTTCTAAGTTTGGGGATCTGGTACTGCTGAGCCCCATTTTTACTTTTTAAAAAACTTCCCTTGAGATTCTTGACCTATTGATTCTTCAAATGAATTTTGTTGTTGTTTTTTCTAGTTTTACAAAATGATCCTTTGATAGTTTGGTTTGGCATAGAAGAAGTAAATTAATTTAGGTAGTATTGGCATTTTTTCTTGTGTTTGTATTTCAAAGTAATTTCTTAACTCTGGTCTTTCTATCAGAAAAGCTTGAAACCCCTGTAGTCCATTTCCCTCCCCTCCTCCCCCTTATAGATTATATTCAGCTTTGCAGGGTAAGTTATTTTTGCTTGTAAGTCTATCATTTGCCTTTTGGAATTTTCCAAGATCTCTGCTCATATATAGTAGAGGCTGCCAGGTCTTGTGTGTTCCCAACTGGTTTCTTAGTACTTGAATTGCTTCTTTCAGGATGCTTGTGGTATTTTTTTTTTTTT